GGAAAGAATTGTAGTTTTTCAGACAGTTTATGCTGTCTGAAAAACTATAATTTATGATTTCGTCGAAAGATGTCTACACATCTTCTACTAGTAGCGAAGGTTTCGATAGCACGAGACTCCACTCTTCATGATGAACAGTCTACGTTCAAAACTGTTACGAGAAGAGTTTTTCAAATTTTTAACTTATTACTTCATATAAAACACTTTTCTGTTTATTAAACTTTTTATATTACTTATTAAATGAAAATCAAAAGTTTGGGATATTATCTACCTTACTTAATGAGCCAAAATTAATATATTTTTTTAAAGTTTAACTATAAAGTTTAAAATTATATCAAAGTATAGTCGTACATTACTAACATCGCCTGATTAATTTATCCGTTTTAATTTTTAAACATTGAAGAGTATTTTTTGCTTTTTATTTATAAACTTATAGAAAAAGTCGCGAATCACCCTTTTAACGTGCGGGATTCGAATTGGTATCCAATCAAAAGTCACTGTCATTTACCACGAAGACTACAAGGAACGAACGACATTATTCTTTCATAATACACTCCCTGTCGTTGGCCCATTGCTACTCGGGTTCATCGATGATAGACCTAACTGACCGGTTAATTTCGAGTTTTAATTTCACCAATTAACAATCGGATTTACAGAGAATACATTTAGTTTGTAATTTAGTGAGTATTTTTATCAAAACAAAATAAAGATAACAATTATTCTCTCTTAAATTACATTTATTTATCAAGATTCATTTGACATTCTTTTGCTAACGGTGAATCTTCTCCCGACATCATACATTTTCGTTCGCCTTCACCACGCATTTCTAAACATTCAAAAATAAATATTATTAATAAATTAAATATATTTTATAGCGATAATCTTAAATATATCTTGAAAGTTTTGTATATTCACAAACTAATATTCTAATACGGAATTTAGCTTACAGCCGAGTTAAATATAAGTTACTGTATGATAGCAAGACATATCTTGGTTCAGTTGCTTCGTGCAAATAAACAATTAGTTTATAATAAAGATTTAGAAGCGAAACGCAAAATTAAACATACTTTTAAACAAAATAATTGATTTAATTTCAAAAACTATTTTAAAACAAAACAAATTAACTATTTCATTTTAATTATTTCGTTCAAATATATATAATTAATCCGCATTAATTAACTTATCACTCGAATCAATTATTGTTTTCAACTCCACACTTCAACATTTAATACGAACAAATATTTCTACTCACGTGAGCTACATCTAAAAACTTCGAATCCGCTCGAGCTTCCGCCCTCATAGCCGAGTCGTAGCATTTCAGATATTTCTCGTGTTCCTTCAAACGCAGAAATAATTAATTAAACGAGTAATTTCGACCGCTTTATATAATAATTAAGTCGAACGACCAACCTCTTTAGTTTTAGTTTTACAAACGAATTCGGTTATTTCTTCCAAAGTTTGACAATATTTTACTTGTTGAGCGCAGTTTCGGAACAGATCGACCGCCTGCGTAATAAACACACATCAGTGATAAATGATAGATTAAAACGTGTATAAAACGATAAATCTTACGATTTGAAATCCGTTTTCCACCATGCAGTAGCGATAACGTTCGGGATGTTCCAAAGCTGAAATTAAAAATTAGCGCATTTAGGAATAAAGTACGTTTCGATAAGAATGAAAATGCTCGTAATTTTTGATACTTGCCACAATAATCCCTGTTTAGATCTTCCACATAAACTAAAGAGCCGTCAATAGATGACACGGCGAGAAGCAGAATCGCTGTAGTTATTATAACTTGCATGGTTGTCGATGTTTTTTCTTTCTTAATGCTGGATTTTTTCTCATATTTATAGTCGTTGGGTATCCAGATTGCTTTATATTTAAGTAGTTATCGATAAATAAGAAATTGGTTTAAAATAAATAATTATTTGAGATGCGGGTCGAGGTTTCTGATAAGGTAACTTGTGTTTCTGATTATATCGAAATTTCATAATTAACATTCCGTTGAGAATTCAGTATTACGTATCATTGTCACTGAGGAATGGCGAAATACGTTATTTTTATCTAGTGATAGTCTCGTATTGTTTCATTTTTACTTTTTTGAATGGGTATTTAAAAATATACAAATGGGAAATATTACGGATACGTTTTTCGATCAATTAATTATCAGTTTTTAATTAATGAAATACGAACAATATTTAATTAAATAATATATAAGTTACATTATCTGTGTTAAGTAAGTATTTAAAAAATTAATAAAATATTGTTATTTAATCGTTGGTATTTGCATGAAAAGTTTTAAATTTTGTTAATGGTAATTTTGAACACAATTCAAATATTACTTTATTAATAGATTAAATTCACCGTTAATTTTATTTATCAATTCTTTTAGCATTAAATTGTATTTAATGCTATCGTGCATAATACGTAGAAACAAGGATCACCAATTGAATAGATCAGCGATTCCCAACTGGGATACGTGTAGAAAAATTAATAATGACGGATGTGCTATAATAATATTCGGATTCTGTGTTGAAGCTTTAGGCAACGTCAGATAACTTGAATTCAATAAATTAATCTTCCGAGTTTTAAATACATATATAAAGTTTATTAGTTCCTTTTTTTATTAACCAACCTCAAAGAGCAATAGCGTAATAGGTAGAGAAGTAGATCAAACACCGAACACTAAACCTTTGTATCTATACAGTATCTAATCTTTTAATCTTCATCAATTCAGCCCCTCTTGCCACCTAACCGTTATTTATTTACAGTTGCAACAAGTTTAGAATACAACTATCCAAAATACAAACATTTTTCTGATGTAAGGGGTACGGTTTTAAAAAATAGGCTGCCAAGGTACTCTAATCAAAGAAGGTTGGGAATCGCTGGTATATATGTTTCGTATCCGAATTAATATTTTTGTTCTGATATCAAAATAACAGAGTCCCGAGTCCGGAGATGTTGATATTAGTAAATATTTTGTAAGACACTTGAAAATTTCTCACCGAGTGTGATCAGTGGGTAGTTGGTGGCGGATTCACGCATATCTAACGAGCCATAAGGAGTTTTGCGGGCTTTTTTTCAGACGTTTAACATGTAAATAGGGTCTAGTTTTTATAAGGAGACCTTCGAGAGGCTTTCCCTCGGCAAATCGCTCTTACCTCGCTTCATTTCATTCTATCAAGCCCAAACATTTTAAAATGTATTTTCCTCGCTTATCGCCACAGATAAATATTTCTTGTAAATAAATGAGATTATTCAACAAGAATAATAAAGCTATTGAAACCAGGATCCATTGTCGTTTTCAGATTTTAGCGCTTACATTTTTCTAGAAATTTACGTTCTTAGTTGTGTCATTTTTGAAGCAAGGTTGCGCTATGTATTAAGCATTTTATCATTTGTTTGCCTGTAAATATAGCTTCGTTTCACTCTATTAACCTACAAGAAACAATTTAGGTCTTACTATATAATTATGTAAGATACCACGTTTTAATTTTAATAAATTTACAAGTTGGAACTAGTTTTTAATAATTAAATATTATATTTAATTATTAAAAATTTCGAACAAAAACGAATGAAATCAATTTAATATAATTGTTAGTCATTTTTATGATGAAATTTTTTGTAGAAAGTTTAGAGGAAATCGATGCTTACCACATGTTTTCGCAGTAAACTACTTAAAATAATATGATCATTAACAAATAAGTCTATGCATTATTATTGCAAATTATAGTGATTTTATCCAATTGCTGATGTTATCAGTATGGATTGTTTTTTGTTCCTGTTTAAAAGACGTCCGAAGGATATTATTGACAATTAACGTAACGGCCTTGAATTACAAAACACTATAATTATCAAATATCAATTATATGAATTAACAATGGACAATTGTATTATGCGTGAAAGTTGATAAATTAATTTTTTGTAATATTAATAAATGTTATTTAATTTATAATCATTTCTGACGAAGACAATTTTCATACTTTTTATTCGGCGATGATATCAAACATCGATTTTTCATTTCGAATATCCTTCTTTAATTAAAACATCATTAAATAATTTGCCTAAATTATTTGCTTTTACAATTTTAAAAGATATATGGAATACGTCTAAATGACAATCATCTAAGTAATTAGACCAAATTAATTAAAATACTTTAAAAATGTATAAAATAATTTTATTTTAAATTACGTTTATATGTGTTTCTATCATTTAATATAACAATTTTTTAATAATTAAAAATAAATATTACATTGTTTCTGGTGCTAAAAGACCATTCTCGTCCTATTGCATAAGTTTGATGGGTCCAATTTTCGCAAAACATTATTGGTGCTCCAAAATTTAGCTTTAAGTTATGAGGTGATAGTCTAGCTGGTTGTAAGGAGTTTAAAAACCCCACCAGCTACCTTACTGTCTCCTAAGTACAGTACAGTACACCTACTTTAAGTCCTAGGTCGAGACGGACAGACATTTCAACAAATAGAATACAAATGTTAATTTAAATAAATATTATTTATATAATTAGCAATAATTAATTATTTCTACTAATTATTCATTCGAGTTACAGTCATAAGTAATTTTTATGCCTATTTAATAGAAGTAAAAATGTAAGGGTTTGGCAATGCAAGCAAAATGTTAGCTGAACGATAATTTACCTTATCAGAAACCTCGACCCGCATCTCAAATAATTATTTCTTTTAAACTAATTTCTTATTTATCAATAACTACTTAAATATAAAGCAATTTGCAAACCTAACGACTATAAATATGTGAAAGAATCCAGCACTAAGAAACAAAGGATATCGACAACCATGCAAGTTATAATTACTACAGCGATTCTGTTTCTCGCCGTGTCATCTATTGACGGATTCTTAGTTTATGTGGAAGATCTAAACAGGGATTATTGTGGCAAGTATCAAAAATTACAAGCATTTTCATTCTTATCGAAACGTACTTTACTCCTAAATGTGCTTATTTTTAATTTCAGCTTTGGAACATCCCGAACGTTATCGCTACTGCATGGTGGAAAACGGATTTCAAATCGTAAGATTTATCGTTTTATACACGTTATAATCTATCATTTATCACTAATGCGTGTTTATTACGCAGGCGGTCGATCTGTTCCGAAACTGCGCTCAACAAGTAAAATATTGTCAAACTTTGGAAGAAATAACCGAATTCGTTTGTAAAACTAAAACTAAAGAGGTTGGTCGTTCGACTTAATTATTATATAAAGCGGTCGAAATTACTCGTTTAATTAATTATTTCTGCGTTTTGAAGGAACACGAGAAATATCTGAAATGTTACGACTCGGCTATGAGGGCGGAAGCTCGAGCTGATCCGAAGTTTTTAGATGTAGCTCACGTGAGTAGAAATATTTGTTCGTATTAAATGTCGAAGTGTGGAGTTGAAAACAATAATTGATTCGAGTGATGAACAGGTTAATTAATGTGTATTAATTATATATATTTAAACGAAATAATTAAAAATAAAATACCTAGTTTGTTTTAAAAATAAATTATTTCTTTTTGAATTCACTATCAAAGCACAACTTATTCTTAAGTCGGTTCTACTCTCAGTAATTTTCATATTACATTGTAATTTCAAGAGTTTACGAATTGTCAAAATATATTTAAGATTATCGCTATAAAATATATTCAATTTATTAATAATATGTATTTTTGAATGTTTAGAAATGCGTGGTGAAGGCGAAAGAAAGTATATAACGTCGTGACACGATTCGCCGTTAGCAATTTTAAAAGAATGTCAAATGTATCTTAATTAATAAATGTAATTTAAGAAGGAATAATTTTTATCTTTATTTTGTTTCGACGAAAACTGAATATATTCTCTATAAATCTGATTGTTAATTTCTGTAATACAAGCGCGAAATTAAGCGGTCAGTTACGTGACATATTTATCAGTCTAAATGCAACTAAATCTGAAATGTGTACCAAAACACACCACTATGAAAGTTTTGGCCGGCCAGCAGCAAACATTTTATTTTTACACAACACCTTTATTTATTTGGTTTTATTCTTTTCGTCCTATTGTCACCGGCGAGGAAACTGTTGGAGTGTCTTTTATAAAGAATAAGATTCTTTATAAAACTTCGATTCGGCACTATTATTTGTTCGCCACTTAATCGAGTGTGGCGATAAACCGAGGTCCCTTATTTATTAAATATCAAAATTTTGAACTTCGAAACTATCGAAGAAGCTTACAGAAGATCTAATAATATTTTAACTGAAGAAATATACTTAAAAAGTGTTTAATATTGCATGCTGTTACTAGATTTAGCACGATTTTACAATGGTTACAACACTGAATAATGATAGATAAATATTCGCTACAAGGTACGAGAATTCACTTATAAAAACTTGCTTTGATAATTACTCACTGCTGGTTGATGATATTTTATACACTGTATTTTATTTTATTGTTTATGTAATTTAATATGAAGCTTTTCACATCAGTAAATTTTAGTAAAAGAAAAATTTTCTATGTCAATATTATACGAAATAGTGAATTAAACGATAAACATAAAATGTATTTTTCAGAAATAAAATTATTTAAACAATTTGTAAATAATACAGGTTAACAGGATTGAAGGGCTCGCAGGCAATGCACATGGCATTCTGCCAAGAGGGGTGCCTCCCGGGACGACTTTATATGGGAAACTATTCTCTAAACAGGTATTGTTAGAAACTTGAAGAAAACAAAGAAAGCTCCAAGCAATCAATTACTAGTGTTCAGTGGTTTTATCCGAGTGAATAAAACCACTAATTTCCCACTTCATCTGTGGGAAATGGTGGGATAATTTTATGACTTCAAAATTTAGAAAGTTCGATCATTTATCTCGAGAAAATCACGTAGATGCAAGTCACAGATATCTAAAGTGACAATGTCCTTTATTTCGATGCTACTGTACTTTAGATTTATTTTTTAATGGCCATTTTTTCCTTTATTTTATAAAATAAAATTGTAAATTGAGTATTGTTGCATGCACATGGCTCGCCACAGATGCCATTAGTGGTATCTGTGGCGGCTCATACATATGCGTGTGTTTGTAGTATACACATATTGTACTCATATGTGTGTATAGCGCAGAACTGTGGTAGTAGTGAATGGACGTCTTGAAGTTGTCACTGGTGTACTTTGGCTCAACATTAATGTAGTGAGTTCATTCAAAACGTATTTTATCTTTAAACAGGTAAATTTTAATATTGTTTTCATTATTACATATTAATTTTTATTCTGTTGACCCTGTGGGTCTATAAAATAAAATGTTCACTTTGGTATTAAAGCTGTTTGTTTTATTCACATTTTTCCATTATTATCAATACAATTTGGAAGAAGAGAAAAGCAAAAACTAAATAAATAAATAAAATCTGGAAAACACTTTTTAGAAAATAAAACAGTTAATTTAATTTTAATATCGAAATTACAAAGATTTGTCAATATAAATTATAATTAAATCCTGTCAATAGTTTTATCCGTAGGTATAGTTACCCATTGTCATCTATTGGCATATATAAGTTTTTCTGTAATTTGAGAAATTATTCTTAATTTTTCGTTAAATACTCTGGTGAGACGTTTCATACTTTCTTACCGATAATCAAATTTATTGTTTATAAAGACATAAGAATATGGTAAGAAAAACTGCGACAGACAAACAGTTACGGCAATTATGCGTGGAAACAATGGGCTGGTTTCAAATGGAACTGGCTATGCCATTGGCTCGTTTATCCGGCAAAATTTGCATGCCATACTGAGATAAATCCGCAGTTCTGCAGTGTTTTCTATGGTAATATTTTTTAAACACGAATTTCAGAAGATATTTCACAATACATAAGGAAAAAATATCTGTAAATATTCAAATTTTAAAGCCTAAAAGTACACAATAATTACAAAAAACCTTATATATTACAGGAGACGTGATGAAAACTGAGTAAAAGAAATTCAGTTTCGTTCAATATTTTTGAAGAAGTTCCGCTTAAGAGTATCCATCGGCACTTTACAAGGGTGACCCTACACTATATCGAAGTATTTGAAGGTAAGATTCCCCCAGTTTGACCTTGATCGATGATATCAAAACATTCAGAATCGACAAAAATACCCTCCCGACTTACGATTACCACCTCTCCCACCAGCTTGCCCCTGACGTTTACTTCGAAGATCCAGCTGATCATGCCATGTTTAGGATCTACACTGACGGTTCCGAGATGGGTGACGAAGTGGGTGTCGCTTTTGTAGTTTACTCCGATTTAGGCCGCGAGCTTCGCAACGCTCTCTTCCGTCTAGGTACACACTGCTCAATAGCACAGGCGGAAACATTAGTTATTTATATGAGCTTAATTCACATTAAGCGTAGGAAGGACAAAAGACACTACTTACACTAGCGCATTTATTCTGACGTTAGAGTAGCTTTACACAGGATTGCGAAGTCTTACAGCCGCTTAAAACTCGTCCGTCTCATACACCACTTTCTCAGACACTTAGACAACATTAGAATAGATTTCCAATAGATCCCGGGTCGTGCGAGGGTTCTCGGCAACGAGACCGCCGACCATCTTGCCAAACAAGCTGCAAAGTCTTCAGTCACTAGTACTTTCAGTTACATTCCTACCTCGTATATCAACAATCACGTCAAGAAGCAAATCTTCATTCTCTGGCAAGACAGTTGGGACTGTGACACCACTGGTAGGCTCACCTACACTTTCATTCCTAAGGTTGACACTACTGCAACTCTTCGCCATTTTACCCTAGTTACACCCTCTCTCAGCTACTTACAGGACACGGCAACTTTAAGCAATACTTGCATAGTTTTAATCTCGGGGACAATCCATAATACGATTGTGGTATGCAGGAGTTTTGTTCTTCCTGAATACCACCACTTCAGTTAGCTTTTCGCTGCAATAGGTACAATCACATTAAGAATAGTAGTCTATAATGAGAGCTGCTATTCTTGAAGGGTACTGTACAACTGGCCTCGCAACCCGCACATTTCATTCACACGTGTACGATGTTCCATCATCTCGCATTCATATTCCTTATGGGGCTCTCGAGAGCACTCATTCCGGGGGCACGAATGGCAATTAGTTTTCTCTCGCTTTGTTTCAACTGTCGGTATATAGCTTCCTTTTACCTTTATATTTTAATTTTTATTTTCCGTCTTCTTTTTCAGTCTAAATTCGGTTAGTTTAAGCTGGTCCTAGTTTTAAGTTCGATTAGAGACTCAGCTTGGTTTCTGGTGAGGTTATGACAGGTTAGGTTAAATCAGATTAGGGTTGTTAGCTTTAGTCGTCTGGATAGGTTCGTCCTAGGTTATGGTAGGTTTAGTTAGTGAATAAGTTAATGTTTAAAAAGTAAATAAATAAATAAAAATTGGTGTCTTGCTCGTTTGTCTTCTGTCGGTCCGTTCGTCTGTCTAGTTTTTCGTTGTGTTCGTTTGTTTTCACACTGTCTGTCTAGCTGTTAGTAGTATTAGGATTCGCACTCGCGTTCATCTTTATTAGTATTAAGTAGATATGCCTTCCTACTAACAGCCACTTGGCACTAACTTCTACACTTAGCTATTTTTGGCGGCACTCAATTATTGGTGTTCGCTACACTCGGGTTTTCTTTTAGACCCTTCGGGGGACTACGGCCTCGCTGCCTAAAAACTGCACGCCAATATCGAACGTAACAGGTACAGTAGCCATACGTCCGCCGTTCAGAAAGATCCTACCTTTCTCTACTGTCTATCACCTTTCCCTCCTTCTTTCCCCTCTTTCCCTTACCCTCTTTTCCGCCGGCTAAACATTTTGTGTACGGCCGATATCTTTTACGTATGTATGTAGGTATGTCCCTAATAATAATATAATAATATAATTAATTAATGAATGATCTTAAAGTACGGTACTTTATGCCAAATTGAAAAGTATGGGTCTAATATATTATTGTGTTTTTGAAAAAAAAAAAAAAAAACTTAAATTTATCTCCTTTATAATCGTCTCATTCNAAAATAATGGAGGGTAGACACGAATAAAAGAAAAAGCAGACAATGGCAACAGTAAAAACAACAATACATAAAAAACAATTGATTAATGATATGGTACAAATTCACTTGTTTGGGTATCTTGAAATGCATATTTGATTAATTATTCCTCTTCGTTTTTGGGCTTATTTTTCTGCTTAAAATTTCTGCTTTTCTTTGCACAAACTCTACAAAATCAACTCTGATAGAGAGAGGATCCGTAAGAGCCATTGTTGTTTGATGCCCGTTCTATATCATTGCTTCCCCAGCTTTGATACAGAGAAGTGCCCAAAATTTAGTTTTTGGATTTTTTTTAATATAAAAAATTCTTGATTCGAAAGTGATATAAATTAAATTTGTTATAATTGGAAAAAAATCTGTGTTTATTTGTTTATTTTTATGGTTTAGCAGATGGGTTAGGCACATAATATGTGGTTTTTATAAGAGATAAAGGCACACAATCTATGGTTTTAGAAGAGGGCTGAAGGAGTGGTTTTAGAAGACCGATAATCCATTTGTGATTAACCTTTCCTCTTTGAGCTCATCTCTAAGAAAGACAAGGTAGTGCCTATCCACTTCATTTTTTCCCTGTTTGCTTAGAAATTTCTGACCGAATGGGCCCCTCTATTTGATAGATTAACAAAACAATTCAGCCAAATTTCTCTCTATATATTCTTCCAGTTGGCTCGGTCCCGCATAAAAAACAAAAAAGAGGTTCTGAAGATTTAGTCTTTTATATAAAAATATATGATACGAAATGGATATAAATTGCAGATTTTTCCTTAAAAATGACAAAAAATTTGTTTTTATATGTTTTATTACTTTTATTCGTATTTTTTTATGGTTTCGGAAGATAGGTAGTCCCCATAGTTCTCTTCTAAACCGTAAAATCCATTCTTTGTGACTGCTCGAGTCCCATCTCACCTTTCTCAAACTCTTTGACACGGATCTCGAACAATCAATAGTGTATTTACTTTCTAAACACGCACGTCTATTCGTAATATAGAAGTTGTGTACTTTATATTCAGTATATGAAGTACAGTACATTTGTACAGCTTAATTACATACAAACATATATAGGCCTACAATACACTACTTAGCATCTGCTAATCAATATTTTATTGTACTAGACGCTTACTAAATACAGTCAAACCTCGATATAGAGCCACCATTTTGTTAGCCCCCAAAATTGGCACTAGAAATCTAGTAACAAAGGATACTGTTATTTATTGTTATGAGATACGTTGACGAGCACTCACTAGCGATGTACGAGGGTGGCGCTATATCGAGGTTCGACTGTAATTAATTAATTATTAACAGATTTGGAAACGGAAATGAAAATCGAATATTTAAATTGCATGGAAAGTTTTCAGAGTGAAGAAGCCATCGACGTTGTAAGTTAAATGTAATATAAGTTTGATTATAATTAGCCTAAATACACATCACTTAATTTAAATTATTTGTAGGCAAATGAGTTTTTGGACTGTATGGGTTTTACTTCGTCACTAGACTTTTTAGAAGGAATTTGTTCGATTTCTAGCGGAGATGAAGTAAAGTCTAAATGAATTTTTCTTTGAATATAATCAAAATTTACCAATTTAATTAATAAAATAATTGCTTAATTTTAGAAATATTCCGACGCCTTAAAAAATTTTAACAAATGTTACAAGGAAGATATGTCTACAAAATTTGTAAGTATAGATGATGCTCTACTGCGTTGATTTTATATAAAGGTGGATTAATTACAATTTTTATTGAAGGCCGTCAGTAACGAGAACGTGGTGAGATGTTTGGACAAGATAACAAATGGACCAATGGAATAAACAAAATGGTAGAATATTTTAATTAATTATGTATGTCTATTCAAGTATTAAGTCACTAGTTTATAGAGTGGAGTATTCGTTTGTATCTGACGATAGGCGAAAGACATTAAGTCTTTGATGATTTAAGATTGCACCCTCCATTACTTTTATCTCATTAAAAAATCGTTGTTTGAAAATAATTCCTGTGTATTTGCGAAAGGTTTAAACTTCTGACCTGATGACATAATTAGGACAGGAGGAGAGGAAATTAAAACAGGGCAAATTTTGATCCCTATAGATATTTATTATCTAACTCATACCTTAAAAAAATCCATCGTGAAATGAGTTATCTTGTTTCCTGTAAGCAAATTCAAGAGGGAATTTAGATTGCTCTGCAAGAGGGAAGCCTACCAGTGGCCGAGTGGATAAAACCATTGAACACGAATAATACGTCGCCGATTCAGGTGTCACCAACGTTTTTCTGGTTTTGTTCACGTGCCAGTATATCATAGAAAATCCTCCCGGGAGACATTCCTCTTCCTTTGGCCAATCGCCTGTGTTGCGTTGCCTTCTTCCATCGAGCCGAACCGCGTGAGTGGGGTTTTCGATCGAAGTCGAGTTTTGTTATATTTTAGAAGAACGGATCGTCCAAAAAGACTTATTAGAGCATACCCTAAATGTTCTACCGAAGCCACATTAACACGGCACGCGACTGTTGGTTACTTTTAAGATTTTTGAACTTATTTACGATATGTCACTTATGGCACATATCGTAGATAAAATGAAATTTTTGGCAAACACAAAGAAAACAAACAAAAAATAATAATATATTGAATTTTATCTTTTCTAAGCTTTATACTTTAGTTTTTAGTGTGCTAAATACTGTATTGCATATAATTTTTTCTATTTCAGATCAGGACTTTTGCGAAATTTGGATTATTCGTTTTATGTTCAAAGATATCAGATCTGAATACCATTAATTAAAAATTGTCTTTATTTTAAATATATATTAAATGAAATTTTCAATATAAATATTTGTAAAACATATTTTAGCATTAAAATAAAGTTTCGTAAGCAAATAATCTCATTAAATCTAATCATTTCGTTTTTGTATCATTAGAGCGGACTTAAGCTCTTATAACTCCCAGTGGAAACACTCCAAATTTTTTTAATACCGTAAAACCCGAATCGCGCGGTACCGAATATTTTTTCCGGTTTGGCAGGTTTCCGTTTTGAACGGGTTCTTTTTTAACGTAGAAATTCGCTCTGTCCGAAGAATTATTCCCGTTTAGCCGGGTTTCCTTTTTAGTCTGTTCCGCTTTGGACAGGTTTTACTGTACAATCAGGATAAGCAAAGATACCGTCAACTTACGCTGTGATTGGACGACCGAATTATCATCGAAGAATGCTTTAACTTTTTAATTCTTAATGTACTAATGATAATATTAAGAAAAGATCTCGTTGCCGCGACTCGAAGATACCAAGATTATACGCTTTGCAAACGTTAAAAAAGTATTTAAAAATGGATTATCTTTAACAAAATACATACTGTATTAACAGGAGAGTGGATTTTATGAAAAACATTTTCAAAATTAAAGTCAATAAACGAGAGATAAAAATATTAATGAGTATATAAGATGATGCAGGCAGGTTTATCCGACAATTTTTCATTTCAGGAAACTACTTATTTGTTAGAGGGCTTCTAATTAAATGTTTTTAAACGTGGAAGTAAATAGCATTTTTATTATTAAATACAATTTCTTGAAGAAAAAGTGTAAAAGGTAAGCTATGCGTGAATTATAGTCGACCCCCCTAAAACACTGTTGATAATTCCGTTTTATATGAATTCCATGTTGTACGAGTCGCTTAGATTTTACAAATACGTTTGCCGGGCTGTGAACGACTCACGTATTTGTGAACGGCTTATGTGAGAGCGGAAGGTACTGTACGCGCCATCGCCACCTGAATGGTTCGGAAGAATCGTTTCACATCAGGGATGGAGAACGTCTAGAAACGTCCCAGAGTAGTTGGATCTTGCAGTTAATTTGTTATACCCCGTTCGAAGCCACCATTTTTCTTCGCAACCATTGAACCGATATAGGAGTTCAAACGACCGAACAACTCTTCCAAATCTAAGACTAAAGATTGCAAATTTAAATTGAAAAATCAGATTCAACTTTTTGATGAAATAATTGATTTTCGTAAATGAAAAAAATAAAATAAAAAAGTAATTCAATGTGTTCAATTACAATTTCTTGATATAAAAGTTCTCTATTTCTATTAATCAATCAAATGGGATGCGAACTGGGGAGAATCGTTAGACAAGGTTAGGCTGGTTTCCCAAAACTGGTGCGGGCATTACAGCAGCCATACTTGAACCAGTACTGTTTTCACCACAAATGGCCAAGGGAACCTGCAAAACGTTTTTCGACTATGTGCCTCTGCCTAACTCACGAGCGCGGATCTTGTTAACCCGAGTCGGTATTACACTTGGACCTGGTTATCGCCGCGGTTAGATCTCCACAGATGTGGGTTCAGTCACTCTTGGTTTCATTTCTCTCCACAGATCGCACTGACATTGGTGACCCTACCAGGAGCGAATGGTCCAGCCGGCATAGCTCCGCGGTTCATCAGAATTACTGCTCTCACCACAGCAGGGTGGTGACTGGCGTGAGAGTTATTATTATTTTCGTTGTTTTATAATTAATTAAAGCATTTAATTGTGTCATTTTAACTTAAATTATGACTTTTTAGAATGAAAATGGGTATTTTTGAGGTTTGGAAACGAACTAATTCACTATACATTATTCCTTACAGGAAAAATTGTCTTTTTTTTCCTCTAGGAACGAACTGAATTCGAGTTCCGAGGAATCACTGTGCACGATAGAAACTATTTTTTACTTTGTGACTAAACAAGTCACTTTTAGTGCGCGAGGAAGAAATATCGACAGAGAATATTTATTATTCTCTCTATTTATGGCCAAAGAAACGAATAAAGTGTCCTCCCGAAATGTTCACCACAGGAGATCAAACTTTAGATATTCATTGGAACAGAATTTCAGAATTACGCAAAACACAATGGGCAGGATATTGGAGAAATTAAACAATATATTTAATAATTAGCATAAATGAAATACTTCTTTAATTCTTTCTCAAAGTATTGATTTCAATATATTCTTATCCAATAATAAATTTACAACTCATATTTTATAAAAGAAATTTGCATATATTTTATTTAAAAATTACGAAATTAAAAATATCTGTGACTAAAAAGTTCTTATTTTTTTTCAAAAATCCATTTAGAATGAAATAATTTGTTTTCTTTACAAAGAAATTGTTTCGGACAATTCAGACAATCGATGGCAATTGATAAGTGCAAGAATATGCGAAATATTATTTAAGAAATTAAATCGGTGTCGTTTTATTATTTAAAATTTAGAAATAAAATATATAATTAATGCAATTATAAATTGTAGTATGATCGTTAAAACGGAATATCTTATAGAAATTTATGATAAATGAAATCAGATACAAAGAGAAGGAAGGAAGGGCTGATGAAAATTTCTTGATTCGATTCTTCATCTTCAATCATTGTAAACAGCTAAGCAATTCTGCAAGTAAACGAAAATAAATTGATTTCTAAAACGTTTCAATAAGATTTTAAGTAATATAATTATAATTATTTTCTGTCAATTTTTGTTTTCTCCTGTTCAAATATCGATCTTGTAATTATTTTCTTACGTCAAGTATGGGCAAAAACTTCTCATCACGCTCGGCTGCTGAAGTTAAAGCTGGTTCTGCACACTTTTTATATCGAACGAATTCCTTTAAAACACAAACACATTTATTTATTTAAAATTTCGATTATCTTACATAAAAATATATAAGTTAATTGTAAACACTTACTAACCTCTCCATTAATATTATTGCAGATGTACTCTGACATTTCGTGCAACGTATAAAATTTTTTAAATTGCAATACACAATTTCGAAATATATCGAGAACCTGCGTGAGATGGCGGAGAAAAATATAGAATAAATAAATTATACGCGATTTTCTTCCATGAAATTTAATGTAAAATTCGACTCACAATTCCCGCATTGTTTTCCATAGCGCAGAACCTCAAAGCTGCTTGATTTCCACTCGCTAACACAGATTATAATTAATATTCCCATATTATTTCAATAAATTAACGAAAGAACATTTAAAGATACTTACAACAGTATTTTCTACTCAATCTATCAGCAAGTTGTGCTTGAATGTAAACCGTACAAATTGCAATTAAAATAAAAATCTTTATAAACAGCATACTGAGAAAATTAATTTTCTATAGACAATTAATACAATCTACAACACTCGTCAATCCATGCCTTTATATATATACGTTGTTTAATTAATGCAATTATAATTACGCTATTATTAATTTAACTTATGAATTTTACATTTTTTATACAATAACCTTTTAATTAGGTTATATCCATTAACTTTTAATACAGAACATATTAATTAAATATGTTAAATTATTCCTGTAATACAAACCCCGTTTAATGCAGTTTGTAATATAACTTAGTTGTAACAAATTTCTAATTGAAAACCAATGACGGTCCGATGACCGAAACGATTAAAACTGCCCATGAGAAATCCGGGAATTTTTCATGGGCAAGTAATTAACCATGCCTATTAGGGATTCAGCCAGGTTCTCGATGCCGACACCCGGCTGGTGAAGGACTGAGCCTGAGACATTCAGCTTCCATTATTTTTAAATATGTTACAACATAAAATGCTTCTGTAGTCCATTGTATTTTAGAGATACGGGATGACCTTAATATAAAAAGGATCAGAAGTGTATTGCTTACTTATTATTATTATTATTATGTTATTTCTGTTCCTCCGAATGAGTGAATTATTAATCATTATTATTAATCAATGTTTATTAATGTAATAGGCAATAGCCTGTTACAAGGGAGATGTTTATACAATTTTAAAAGTTTACATAAATTAACTTTTCGATGTACATTCGCCTTCCGTCTGTTACAATCGGGGCGGTTGGATTTCACAATTTCTTGATTATCTACACAAATTTATTTCTACATATAATTATATTCTAACTTATAAATGACATTTAGTATGTTCCTTTTTACACCTGTTTTAAAACACTTCAAATTTATTCAATATTCCGCATACAATAGCTCATTGTTTTTGCATTACAAAGATCTTATTTACTTTATTAAATTTATATTTATGATAGCTACTTTTACAAAGTAGATTAATTTATTCTTGTTTCTTCATTTTTGCTTCACTAAATACTATGATAACGTGTTTATTAACTATTAGTTTTGACTGTCACTTCAAATTATCATCCAGGTTCCCTTGAACCAATTATAATGTTAGGATCTATGAATTCTTTTAGTAAGACTTTATAATTTTTCTGCAAAGACCTTATATTCTCCAAAACCCTATTGGACAGAAATTTTTTTGTCTTTGTTAGTCTCTCTCATATTTTTACTACCATTACATTACTAACATTTTTTCCCTTTACTTTTACTTTACTATTTTCCAGTTTTACAAAGCTTTTATTACAAATATTTTCAATTACTGTTTTCTTATTTGAAGGATCTAAACTTAATTCGGTATGATTTTCTTTTCAGTCCTGTTCTTTTTAGTCGTCTGTCTATTTCTAAAAGAACAATCCATTTGAATAATCTTGTTTGTATTCATATCAATTGTATATATTATATTATCCTTAATATAGTAATCATCTCTTATTAATATTTTATTTTTAATAGTTTTTTCTATTTTAATTTGATCCTGTAGTTTTTTCTTCTAATTCTTGATCTAATACACAAATCCGTTGTAATTATTATTTTTTTCTCGATTTCACTAACAATTTTTGGTTTCAAAGTCCAAAAATTTCCTGAGAACTAAATTTCTATCTTTTACAGATTCCGGACATACTTTTATTATTAGGTTATTCTTACTATTTTTAAGTTGGACTAGTTCTTCAATGTCTATATTTTTTAGACCTAATTCTTTGTTAATAAATTGTTTGATTTGTTGAGCAACGTTCCATGTTTTAATTCGGAAAATTAAAAATTATTATGTTCTTACTTGTATTGTCATTTACCAATTTATCAAATTCGAAATTCCAACATACCTTTTATCTTTTCGTTATTTATATAATTTTCTTCTAATTTTTGTATCTTGTAACCAATTATCTTCATCTCTTCCTTATAAATATTATTTTCTTCTTTTATCTTATTAACTTCAGCTATTATTGGCCGAATTTCTAAGTTTAACTGGCAAAATTTTTCCTGAATTAATTCGTATATTGTGAATCGTCAATACCTTGTTTTTCGGTTTCTCTTGCTTGTCTAAAATAATCCTGAATTTTCGAATTTCTCGGAGTCCCATTATTTTTTTCGACCTCTTCTTCAATTTGGTATTCCTCACTTAAAATTTCCAGTAACTGTGTTTCCCTTTCTTCACCCTTGTGACTTGAATGAGTGAATTATTCGGTAAGAATCTGGTATTAAATTTATCGGAAAATAAGTGATTTACTTACAGCGGCGCCCGCAGACTATGAAAAAGAGGGGACGCAAGCTATGAAAAAGGGTATCGTACATTATACAAAAAGCTTCAAATTCTATGATTCAACGTCGGATCAGTGTTCTCACAAGATGGCCCCGGTTGCATCTTGGTCTCGAAAACAAGGAATGGGGTTTTGATCAACATACCACGAAGTTGCATAGGTCAATGGATAAAAATCGTTCGTTAGTTTCTTTTATATTTGCAGAGTAGGCTAGAAGTCACGAATTTTCTGTTGTTTGGGACCTGTTTGAGGAATAGGAAAAGGGCAACCAAGACGAAAAGGGAGCATGTACACGAGGGCCCCGATATACGGGCGCCCCCGCGTACTAATATATTAGTTCCTGGTATTAAAATGAAGTTACGATAAAAAAGATACCAGAAGACATAGCTTTGGTTCTGAACATGTAAAAATTTACGAGTATTTTTCTACTTTCTGAGGTTAAATTCTGAAGTTTTACTTCAGAATTTAACCTCAAAATCTTTTCCTAAAATTTCATTTTTAAATGACGTGTGAGATTTGTCCGTTTTAAAATTTCGTACGTAAAAGATACGTAAGAAGTGTTGACATCCATTATCTCCTGGTAATAGTGATAGTTTTCAATGAATCAATCCAATAACTATGAATATGAACTTCGTGAAGTGCATCATAAAACATTTAATAATTGGATATCTCTTTTCTATCTCGTTATTCATCTATAATGATTATTCTCTTATGATTTATTAACCTTACAGTTTTCTTATTTTTAAAAGAACAATCGTATTCAAAACGTATTTAGTATTAAGTATATAGGCCAGAATTTTAATTGAAAGTTACCACGAATAACCTAAATTCCTTTTCTATTGTATAGGTCTAAATTTTAATTTTCTCTCAATAATGAATGCAATGGGATATCATTAAAATTCGCATAATAAATAATTAAAATGTTATTACTGTACTTTATTTAACGTTACATTTATTATTTTGCAATTATAAAAATAAAGTAGGCTATATTTATTAGATAGAGAAATAAATTTGATTTCTTCTTTCCACTTTGAAATCTATTATTCATCAAACTGATAAGTTCGTTATTCCTTAGATCATTTTTTAAGGCGTTAGTGTTCTATGTCGTGTATTATTGAAAGAGGCTTTCAGCTTTTCCGAGTAAACGATTGAGAGTACAGACACGGTTCAGGTATCAAAATGAAGCTCTTGCTCCATAGATGATGCCGCCGGAGAAGTTTTGTGAAAGGTGAAAAGGCGAACCATTATGGGATAATTATGATAACGTGTTATGTCTATGGATAATTATAATAATGCTGTCATTGTTAAACATTGTTGGCCGTTATTTGTTAAACTTCTGTGTGCTTTTTAATTTTTCTAATACTTCTCATATAATCGATAATTTTACCGTAAAGTAAGCAATTTATCTTAATTATCTATTGTATGTCTGTTTATTAATTGAAGGTGGTTTCAGTTTGTCCGAAGTTGGAACGGTACAATCCTACTCCCCGACGTCGAAATCCATAAGAAAAACGATTCCGTATACTGTATATATATATTACAATCGTGTTATGTACGTACACATGACACGACTATGCGACATATTGGTGACTATCACAATACTTTATTCTCACGATTTATGCCAATTTATAATTTCGTTTAAGTCATTCGTTCAAAGAGAAGAATCGGGTTTAATTTTGTTTCTTCAGTTCGGAATAAATTTCTTTAAGCCAATCTTCACACGAATTGTAGTTGATGATTTGCACTCTCTTTAATACATTTCTAAAGTCAAAAAAAAAGTTTAATTACGAATTATTTATCAAGAAATAAATTTGAGAAAAAATTGAGTTATATCTCAATTATTTAAAGCCATTATTTGGTTACATATCGGGATGTTTAATATAGTTGTATTAAATACTATACCTCAGCAATTGCAGAAAGCTTGGGATTAACTTTATTTTCTACATTTACTGCCGGAACGAAGCATTGTAAATATTCTTCATATTCCTAAAAATATAACAAAAATGAAACTTAATACGTAATTAAATCATTACGAATAGAACTAATTAATTTGATTGAACTACCTTTTCACTCATGTAAAAACAAAAATAATCAACTAACTCTTCCATGGTAGGATGGAATTTGACTTGTATTACACAATTGCGAAATAATTGGTTAGTCTATAAAATCGGTTGAAGATTGAAAATTAATTTGCTTTATTGATTTTTTCAAATAAATTAAATTACGATAAGTCGTACAATATCTACGCCATTTTCGAGCATACAGTAATCCGCTGCCTTTGGATTCTTTAATTCTAATATTTTTAAACGCATAAGAATCTCGTATTAGTTATAATAAATTAAAAGAATGAATATTGTCAGAATATGCTCACCACAATAACGTCTGTCCAATTCTCTTACTAATTCCCATTCTATCGCTCGGATAGAAAATATATTAAGACTAAGAGCGATGAGAAATAAGAAAGTTTTCATTGTTTCCACTGGATTTATTCTTTTAGAATAGTTCGATGAAGGTTATTTCTGTATTTATATCAATAACATTTCGAAATCTTTTAACGCTTTATTATTCAGAATAATGTTTTAAAAATCTAATAAGTTATGTGACCCATTTTCGGACTTATGTAATCAATAAGATAATTGATAAATTTAAATCATTAAGAAAATAGTTTTGAGTAACTTGCATAACTATTTTAAAAATTAATTACTATTATTATTATTGCAAATTGCTCAATATCTGTTTAATACACTATAAGATAACTTCATTAAATTATATTATATCTTGTCAAAGAACATTCTATTAATATTAGTTTAAATACCAAAAAATTTGATTAATAAGGCTTTCTATAGCATCGTTCTAGTGCTATGGTAAAAATATATCAGTTGGCGGATGGATCGGGTGGTTTCGTGGATATGGCAACGCAATAAGTGGACGATCTGCCATGGGGGAATTCCGTAGAAAGTTCTTCCAATTTAAATGTTAAACACGTGAAGAAGATACGAAAAACTCCACGCGACTTTGCCCATCCCATTGGAAAGGCTCGAAGTTGCGACCCAATTACCAGTGTTCAGTGGTTTTATCTACTCAGACATCGGTGGGTACAAACAAACTGTGCTTATCATCATCATCAAATAGCCACGAGTGTTTATGTCTGAAGTCCGTTGCGTTGTGTAAGTCAAGTATTCCTCATTGTGTCATTAAGTATCATTGTGTTTATTCCTCATTTTGTGAAACGTAACGATAAATGAATATTTAGCCTTGAAAAATAACGTCATAAGTACTCGATAACAAGACCAGAAAAAAACGTTTGTTCCCGTCCCTTAAACCATGATAAACGATGATCACACTGCAGTAAGGAAACAGTAAATATGCTTTAAAAACCTTCAGTTACAGGTTATTCGCCACTTACATACCATCATTAGGCTTGGAAAATTAAATAGGAATGTTTCACTTCGTGACTCGCGTAAAAACTTACGAATATTAATAATTATTTACGTTTAAAGTTTAGATTTTATCGGTATTACTAGACAAATCACTACATTTGATGTTTATTCTAAATTTATGGAAGAAATAAATACAAATTTCACACCACATCATAAATGTGTTAAAGATTATTCCATAAAGACAGGAGAATTTCTAGTTTTATTATTAAAAGTTTTTACATTTTTAACAAGTATAAAATGGCAAAAAGCTTAATTTTCAGAGTAGGGTAGGGTATTAAAAAATTGTAAGTACTAATAACTAGTAAAATCGTCTGACCTTACTGAAGATACCCCATTTATTATCCCATCCCTCCACCTTTAATCACTAAAATTTAACAGCATCGATTTCCCTAATAAAAAAATCTCCCTGCAAAATTTCAGAAGTTTTTGACAAAAAGCACAGGAGTTATTAAACTTCAAAAGGGTAACCAAAATAGTGCTCCTCCCCACATACGCATATTAACATTCGTACGTACAGAAATTACTCCCGAATTGTTTTGCATTTCTCGACGTTTTAAAATCTCTTGAGTCCAAAATTGTAAAAATCTGGGGGGGTCATTTTTTGATCGATCGCCATACTTTCCGCCTGTTATATTTAAGAGCTGGGAAAGTAAAAATTGACAATACTGCTTTGAAAGTATGATCCTGTTAGTGTATAGACGAAGAAAACACTAGATGCGAACAAAATAACCTTTGTTTACATAGATTATTTTGAATATCCGGTCATCAATAATATACGAAATTGGGTGTAAATACAGGGTGGTAAGAACTGAACCGACGGTACTCAGACGTGGAGCCGGCACTACTGATTCCAATCGAATAAAACTTGGTACACACGCAATGCAAATCAAGGGGGAGAGATTTACGGAAAAATTAAATCTTTTCCCCTTGATTTGCATCGCGTGTATGCCGAGTTTCATTCCATTCGGTTCAGTACAGTCGACACTACGCGTGCCTGAGTACCGCCAATTTAATTCTTTGTATTAAGTATTGTATTAAGTAGATTTTTATGAAAGTTCTATTAATTGCTTCATCGTAAACAACGAAGTCTCCTTTAGTCTCGATTGTTCTGGGAAACTCGAATCATATCTGATATATAAAAAAGCTGAATAGGCTCCATCTTCTTTACCTTTAATCAATGCTTTAATATCATCAATGCTCTATATAAAATAAATTGCAATTAAATTTACGTAAAGTCAAACATCGATAAAGACTAGGAAACAAAAAATAGGTGTTTCGACGTAGTTACTATGGCTGTCATCAGATGGCGCATCATCCAACCATTCTAGTGTGACTCGCTCGTCCTTATTTTTCTTTACTCCTTTAAACGTATTATTAAATGGGCTTTATTTGGGCAATGTATCTTATAATGAATGTTTTCTCTCAAAATTTTGAAAAATTTGAACTATTTCTTGTATATTTCTCATTATTTTCCACGATGTTTCGCATAATTAGTATCAGGAAATGTTACTATACATTAAATAATATATATGCATTATTTAATGTATAATAAACAATATATATATATCAATACATAATGTAAATATAAAAGTATTAAAATATCACGGTTTATTATTTTATAAATTAAAATAACTCGAGCATAAAATGAATTATAAGATTGAAATGTGTTGCGAGTGTATTAAAAATTATAATAAGCTTTTTTGAGGGAGAGAGAAAGATTATTTCATTCCTATATTTCAAAAGCTATTCTAGTGCGAAATTTTTCTGCTCGTATAATTATTTTATTTTAAAAAATATCTCCTTTATATGCTATTTTACTAATATGCATACTACTTTAATTAATACATGTTCTGTTCAACCGGAAAACTTACAATTAAAGACTAATCTTCGTCATAATTCTAGTTGTCTATTTATTTATTCATGAATATTAACTATGTTTTGTATTTATCTTACAATATAATAGGAAAAATTTTAAATAAATTTGCTATAAATACGTCGAAATATGAAAAAGATTCGGGTGTTTTTTCCGTATGTATGGGAGTGTGTGGGGGGGACACGATTTTGTTCACCTTTTTGAAGCTTAATAACTCCCGTGCTTTTCGTCGAAAATTTCTGAAATTTTGCAAGGTGATCTGTGTATTAAGGGGATCGATACTTTTAAATTTTGATGATTAAAAGTCGAGGGAGTGGGGAGATAATGGAAGTCGTGTGAATCTTCAATAGGGTCGGATTTAATGACGATTTAACTCGTTATTAAATCTTTACAATTTTTTATAATACTCATTCCTACCCTGAAAATTAAGCTTTTTCCCATTTTATAATAGTAAAAATATAAAATTTGAAGGTGGACTGAAATATTAATATAACCAAAATGAAAGATTACAGACAATTGAAAATAAATGCCATGACTGCATCCGTGATTACATTATCGGTTAAATAACAGTGATGTCGTTGTGATTTACATAAAACTTCATCCGGAAAATACACATATATGTTTAGTTAGCAATTTTTCCATAATTTACAATGAATCGAATGTGCGTTTAAGAGCACTAATCTAAAATTATTCATTTTAATTATTTTTCAATTTAACAGCAGAATTGTTAATATATATTAAGTATAAATGTATTTTTAGCACTTCGTCTTGTCTAAGCAATTTGTTTCTTAGCTGTAACGCTTATAAATGTAGAGTTTAACCTGATGTTTGTATTTAATTAAAATGTGATATTAGAAGTAAATATTTTGTTAGACTCGGTTGAAGGAGTTTATAAATGAATTTCGTTTACATAAATCATTTCGAATGTGCCATAAATAATTATTGGAACTGGGTATAAATACTGGTAGATTTCTATTTAATAGATAAGAATTGCTGTATTGGAAACAATGAAGACACTTCTAGCTTTGGTCATAGTGTTCTTTGCCGTGGCTTCCATCCATTCGTGCAACAATATCGATGCTAATAATTTATTTAAACAATTCTGCAGTAAGTAATTTTTAACGACATTAATTTTAAATCTATTATTATTAAATTTAAACACAAATTTTATAGATATTCGTAATCGTCAAGCATTCAATTATTGTTTGAGAGAAAACAACGTGAATATTGTAAGAGTTTTACCATTTTATCATTTTAATTGAATATTTGATATTCTATCATTTATTTTAACCATTAAATAATTGAATAGATTAACGATTTGCATCGCAATTGTATCATGCAAGTCAAGTATTATAAAACTATGGATGAATTAAAAAATTTTATTTGCAATGGTAGTACAGAAGAGGTAATTCATTCACTAATTAACAAAAGAATTAATATTCTAACATTTATTCATTGTTTTATTATTGTCTTACAGGAACTTACAAAATATTTTCATTGCTTCTATCCAGCAATCTATGTGGAAAACATAGCTAATCCTAATCTTCTAGATATCAATCGGGTATGGACACATTTCATAAGTTATTCAATTTAATTTAAATATCTGAGGCCCTCTTCCTCTCTGTGAGCACCAAGAGGGCCTCTTTAAAATCGTGCCCGTGGGTTGGCCAGGCCCACAATGGGGTGGGCTAGAAGTGAGTAAGGAGGACATCATTCCCAAAAATCGCCTTGGTCATCCGACCATCTATCTGAATATTAATCCACTTAGGCATTAATAATAATTATAATTACTTTTAATCGTTAAGTTTATTTAAACGTACTTTAATTAATATATTTATTTATAATTCAATTTTTTCTTTTCAGAAATGCTTAAAGGAGGTTTCAAAATACTATTAAAGACCTACAACTTTCGAATAATTTGGAATAACCGATTAAAATTTAAATAAAGATTTTTAACTGTCAATTTTTGTATTTATCGTTTGGGTTGATGATAAAGAATTAATATATTTAATTAATAAATTTAATTGCGTCAAATGTCGTTACATTTAAGATCCATTTTTATATAATAAATAATCTTCACTAAAACTTTTTCAAGCTTAAAATTGCGCAGAACTGATTAAATTGTCTTTACGACTGTTATGTATAACAATATATAACAGGAGGAAAGTATGGCGATCGATCAAAAAGACCCTCCAAGATTTTTACATTCTTGGATTCAAAACACCTTGAAACGTCGAGAAATTTAAAAAAATTCGGAGGTTTTTCCTGTATGTATGAATTTTAGTGTGTGTGTGTGTGAGGCACGATTTTTGTTCACCCCGTTTGAAGCTTAATAGCTCCTGTGCTTTATGTCGAAATTTTCTGAAGTTTTTCAGGCGGATTTTTTTATTAGGGGAATCATTGCTATTAAATTTTGGTGTCTAAAGGTTGAGAGTGAGGGGATAAAAGGGTCGTATGTATCTCTACAAGGGTCGGACTTAACGACTATTTTACTGGACTTATTGGCATTTACAATTTGTTTTCTTTGATTCTGCAGTTTTTCGGGTTTTCTTCACATGTCTGACATCTAAATACGGGTCAATTTCTCATAGAAAATTCCCTCGGAATTTTCTATGAGAAGGGGGAGGAAGACCCTCGGGACAGATCGTCCAAATGTTGCTTTGTCTTCTTTTATCAACCCAACACTAAAGAATATCTCTTTTTATATTGATTTAATGTTTGTATTAAGACAAATTCCTCGAGATTTCCTAAAACTAGGAATATTAATCTTCCCACTTTTTCCTATTAATTATTCAGTGTGGAAGGACAACAGAAATAAATCTGTTTAATTAACGCTATTTTAAATCTGTTGTTCCCAGAAAAACACGCCGCAGTCGTCGTTACATAGAATTTATCATTTCTTTTGAGTCTAAAACACGTCGACTACTTTTCTGTCATTTTAAACACATTTAATAAAAATAATAAATTTAAATATTTGAAATGTCAGAAAATTTCTCGTTTCTTTTCACAGTTTTAAAGGATATTATTATATAATTTAGTATACTGATTGATACGGTCGATTGCTCGAATTCAATGAGGCAATATTGCTTGATTTCAAATTTCAATGACACATTTTGAATTATTATTAATAAACTTTATTGAAACAATGTCTTAACATAAACATATTTCTTATTATCTTAAAAAATTGCTTGATGTATTAAACACATCGCTGTTTATTCGCTTGCAGCACTCTTCAAGCATTTCTGGAAAATATTTTTAAAATATTTGTTTATATTCCTTTCTATAAATGTTAATTAATAAAAAATTAATAAAAATTGTTTAATTNAATTTCTATATTTTTTAGACCTAATTCTTTGTTAATAAATTGTTTGATTTGTTGAGCAACGTTCCATGTTTTAATTCGGAAAATTAAAAATTATTATGTTCTTACTTGTATTGTCATTTACCAATTTATCAAATTCGAAATTCCAACATACCTTTTATCTTTTCGTTATTTATATAATTTTCTTCTAATTTTTGTATCTTGTAACCAATTATCTTCATCTCTTCCTTATAAATATTATTTTCTTCTTTTATCTTATTAACTTCAGCTATTATTGGCTGAATTTCTAAGTTTAACTGGCAAAATTTTTCCTGAATTAATTCGTATATTGTGAATCGTCAATACCTTGTTTTTCGGTTTCTCTTGCTTGTCTAAAATAATCCTGAATTTTCGAATTTCTCGGAGTCCCATTATTTTTTTCGACCTCTTCTTCAATTTGGTATTCCTCACTTAAAATTTCCAGTAACTGTGTTTCCCTTTCTTCACCCTTGTGACTTGAATGAGTGAATTATTCGGTAAGAATCTGGTATTAAATTTATCGGAAAATAAGTGATTTACTTACAGCGGCGCCCGCAGACTATGAAAAAGAGGGGACGCAAGCTATGAAAAAGGGTATCGTACATTATACAAAAAGCTTCAAATTCTATGATTCAACGTCGGATCAGTGTTCTCACAAGATGGCCCCGGATGCATCTTGGTCTCGAAAACAAGGAATGGGGTTTTGATCAACATACCACGAAGTTGCATAGGTCAATGGATAAAAATCGTTCGTTAGTTTCTTTTATATTTGCAGAGTAGGCTAGAAGTCACGAATTTTCTGTTGTTTGGGACCTGTTTGAGGAATAGGAAAAGGGCAACCAAGACGAAAAGGGAGCATGTACACGAGGGCCCCGATATACGGGCGCCCCCGCGTACTAATATATTAGTTCCTGGTATTAAAATGAAGTTACGATAAAAAAGATACCAGAAGACATAGCTTTGGTTCTGAACATGTAAAAATTTACGAGTATTTTTCTACTTTCTGAGGTTAAATTCTGAAGTTTTACTTCAGAATTTAACCTCAAAATCTTTTCCTAAAATTTCATTTTTAAATGACGTGTGAGATTTGTCCGTTTTAAAATTTCGTACGTAAAAGATACGTAAGAAGTGTTGACATCCATTATCTCCTGGTAATAGTGATAGTTTTCAATGAATCAATCCAATAACTATGAATATGAACTTCGTGAAGTGCATCATAAAACATTTAATAATTGGATATCTCTTTTCTATCTCGTTATTCATCTATAATGATTATTCTCTTATGATTTATTAACCTTACAGTTTTCTTATTTTTAAAAGAACAATCGTATTCAAAACGTATTTAGTATTAAGTATATAGGCCAGAATTTTAATTGAAAGTTACCACGAATAACCTAAATTCCTTTTCTATTGTATAGGTCTAAATTTTAATTTTCTCTCAATAATGAATGCAATGGGATATCATTAAAATTCGCATAATAAATAATTAAAATGTTATTACTGTACTTTATTTAACGTTACATTTATTATTTTGCAATTATAAAAATAAAGTAGGCTATATTTATTAGATAGAGAAATAAATTTGATTTCTTCTTTCCACTTTGAAATCTATTATTCATCAAACTGATAAGTTCGTTATTCCTTAGATCATTTTTTAAGGCGTTAGTGTTCTATGTCGTGTATTATTGAAAGAGGCTTTCAGCTTTTCCGAGTAAACGATTGAGAGTACAGACACGGTTCAGGTATCAAAATAAAGCTCTTACTCCATAGATGATGCCGCCGGAGAAGTTTTGTGAAAGGTGAAAAGGCGAACCATTATGGGATAATTATGATAACGTGTTATGTCTATGGATAATTATAATAATGCTGTCATTGTTAAACATTGTTGGCCGTTATTTGTTAAACTTCTGTGTGCTTTTTAATTTTTCTAATACTTCTCATATAATCGATAATTTTACCGTAAAGTAAGCCATTTATCTTAATTATCTATTGTATGTCTGTTTATTAATTGAAGGTGGTTTCAGTTTGTCCGAAGTTGGAACGGTACAATCCTACTCCCCGACGTCGAAATCCATAAGAAAAACGATTCCGTATACTGTATATATATATTACAATCGTGTTATGTACGTACACATGACACGACTATGCGACATATTGGTGACTATCACAATACTTTATTCTCACGATTTATGCCAATTTATAATTTCGTTTAAGTCATTCGTTCAAAGAGAAGAATCGGGTTTAATTTTGTTTCTTCAGTTCGGAATAAATTTCTTTAAGCCAATCTTCACACGAATTGTAGTTGATGATTTGCACTCTCTTTAATACATTTCTAAAGTCAAAAAAAAAGTTTAATTACGAATTATTTATCAAGAAATAAATTTGAGAAAAAATTGAGTTATATCTCAATTATTTAAAGCCATTATTTGGTTACATATCGGGATGTTTAATATAGTTGTATTAAATACTATACCTCAGCAATTGCAGAAAGCTTGGGATTAACTTTATTTTCTACATTTACTGCCGGAACGAAGCATTGTAAATATTCTTCATATTCCTAAAAATATAACAAAAATGAAACTTAATACGTAATTAAATCATTACGAATAGAACTAATTAATTTGATTGAACTACCTTTTCACTCATGTAAAAACAAAAATAATCAACTAACTCTTCCATGGTAGGATGGAATTTGACTTGTATTACACAATTGCGAAATAATTGGTTAGTCTATAAAATCGGTTGAAGATTGAAAATTAATTTGCTTTATTGATTTTTTCAAATAAATTAAATTACGATAAGTCGTACAATATCTACGCCATTTTCGAGCATACAGTAATCCGCTGCCTTTGGATTCTTTAATTCTAATATTTTTAAACGCATAAGAATCTCGTATTAGTTATAATAAATTAAAAGAATGAATATTGTCAGAATATGCTCACCACAATAACGTCTGTCCAATTCTCTTACTAATTCCCATTCTATCGCTCGGATAGAAAATATATTAAGACTAAGAGCGATGAGAAATAAGAAAGTTTTCATTGTTTCCACTGGATTTATTCTTTTAGAATAGTTCGATGAAGGTTATTTCTGTATTTATATCAATAACATTTCGAAATCTTTTAACGCTTTATTATTCAGAATAATGTTTTAAAAATCTAATAAGTTATGTGACCCATTTTCGGACTTATGTAATCAATAAGATAATTGATAAATTTAAATCATTAAGAAAATAGTTTTGAGTAACTTGCATAACTATTTTAAAAATTAATTACTATTATTATTATTATTGCAAATTGCTCAATATCTGTTTAATACACTATAAGATAACTTCATTAAATTATATTATATCTTGTCAAAGAACATTCTATTAATATTAGTTTAAATACCAAAAAATTTGATTAATAAGGCTTTCTATAGCATTGTTCTAGTGCTATGGTAAAAATATATCAGTTGGCGGATGGATCGGGTGGTTTCGTGGATATGGCAACGCAATAAGTGGACGATCTGCCATGGGGGAATTCCGTAGAAAGTTCTTCCAATTTAAATGTTAAACACGTGAAGAAGATACGAAAAACTCCACGCGACTTTGCCCATCCCATTGGAAAGGCTCGAAGTTGCGACCCAATTACCAGTGTTCAGTGGTTTTATCTACTCAGACATCGGTGGGTACAAACAAACTGTGCTTATCATCATCATCAAATAGCCACGAGTGTTTATGTCTGAAGTCCGTTGCGTTGTGTAAGTCAAGTATTCCTCATTGTGTCATTAAGTATCATTGTGTTTATTCCTCATTTTGTGAAACGTAACGATAAATGAATATTTAGCCTTGAAAAATAACGTCATAAGTACTCGATAACAAGACCAGAAAAAAACGTTTGTTCCCGTCCCTTAAACCATGATAAACGATGATCACACTGCAGTAAGGAAACAGTAAATATGCTTTAAAAACCTTCAGTTACAGGTTATTCGCCACTTACATACCATCATTAGGCTTGGAAAATTAAATAGGAATGTTTCACTTCGTGACTCGCGTAAAAACTTACGAATATTAATAATTATTTACGTTTAAAGTTTAGATTTTATCGGTATTACTAGACAAATCACTACATTTGATGTTTATTCTAAATTTATGGAAGAAATAAATACAAATTTCACACCACATCATAAATGTGTTAAAGATTATTCCATAAAGACAGGAGAATTTCTAGTTTTATTATTAAAAGTTTTTACATTTTTAACAAGTATAAAATGGCAAAAAGCTTAATTTTCAGAGTAGGGTAGGGTATTAAAAAATTGTAAGTACTAATAACTAGTAAAATCGTCTGACCTTACTGAAGATACCCCATTTATTATCCCATCCCTCCACCTTTAATCACTAAAATTTAACAGCATCGATTTCCCTAATAAAAAAATCTCCCTGCAAAATTTCAGAAGTTTTTGACAAAAAGCACAGGAGTTATTAAACTTCAAAAGGGTAACCAAAATAGTGCTCCTCCCCACATACGCATATTAACATTCGTACGTACAGAAATTACTCCCGAATTGTTTTGCATTTCTCGACGTTTTAAAATCTCTTGAGTCCAAAATTGTAAAAATCTGGGGGGGTCATTTTTTGATCGATCGCCATACTTTCCGCCTGTTATATTTAAGAGCTGGGAAAGTAAAAATTGACAATACTGCTTTGAAAGTATGATCCTGTTAGTGTATAGACGAAGAAAACACTAGATGCGAACAAAATAACCTTTGTTTACATAGATTATTTTGAATATCCGGTCATCAATAATATACGAAATTGGGTGTAAATACAGGGTGGTAAGAACTGAACCGACGGTACTCAGACGTGGAGCCGGCACTACTGATTCCAATCGAATAAAACTTGGTACACACGCAATGCAAATCAAGGGGGAGAGATTTACGGAAAAATTAAATCTTTTCCCCTTGATTTGCATCGCGTGTATGCCGAGTTTCATTCCATTCGGTTTAGTACAGTCGACACTACGCGTGCCTGAGTACCGCCAATTTAATTCTTTGTATTAAGTATTGTATTAAGTAGATTTTTATGAAAGTTCTATTAATTGCTTCATCGTAAACAACGAAGTCTCCTTTAGTCTCGATTGTTCTGGGAAACTCGAATCATATCTGATATATAAAAAAGCTGAATAGGCTCCATCTTCTTTACCTTTAATCAATGCTTTAATATCATCAATGCTCTATATAAAATAAATTGCAATTAAATTTACGTAAAGTCAAACATCGATAAAGACTAGGAAACAAAAAATAGGTGTTTCGACGTAGTTACTATGGCTGTCATCAGATGGCGCATCATCCAACCATTCTAGTGTGACTCGCTCGTCCTTATTTTTCTTTACTCCTTTAAACGTATTATTAAATGGGCTTTATTTGGGCAATGTATCTTATAATGAATGTTTTCTCTCAAAATTTTGAAAAATTTGAACTATTTCTTGTATATTTCTCATTATTTTCCACGATGTTTCGCATAATTAGTATCAGGAAATGTTACTATACATTAAATAATATATATGCATTATTTAATGTATAATAAACAATATATATATATCAATACATAATGTAAATATAAAAGTATTAAAATATCACGGTTTATTATTTTATAAATTAAAATAACTCGAGCATAAAATGAATTATAAGATTGAAATGTGTTGCGAGTGTATTAAAAATTATAATAAGCTTTTTTGAGGGAGAGAGAAAGATTATTTCATTCCTATATTTCAAAAGCTATTCTAGTGCGAAATTTTTCTGCTCGTATAATTATTTTATTTTAAAAAATATCTCCTTTATATGCTATTTTACTAATATGCATACTACTTTAATTAATACATGTTCTGTTCAACCGGAAAACTTACAATTAAAGACTAATCTTCGTCATAATTCTAGTTGTCTATTTATTTATTCATGAATATTAACTATGTTTTGTATTTATCTTACAATATAATAGGAAAAATTTTAAATAAATTTGCTATAAATACGTCGAAATATGAAAAAGATTCGGGTGTTTTTTCCGTATGTATGGGAGTGTGTGGGGGGGACACGATTTTGTTCACCTTTTTGAAGCTTAATAACTCCCGTGCTTTTCGTCGAAAATTTCTGAAATTTTGCAAGGTGATCTGTGTATTAAGGGGATCGATACTTTTAAATTTTGATGATTAAAAGTCGAGGGAGTGGGGAGATAATGGAAGTCGTGTGAATCTTCAATAGGGTCGGATTTAATGACGATTTAACTCGTTATTAAATCTTTACAATTTTTTATAATACTCATTCCTACCCTGAAAATTAAGCTTTTTCCCATTTTATAATAGTAAAAATATAAAATTTGAAGGTGGACTGAAATATTAATATAACCAAAATGAAAGATTACAGACAATTGAAAATAAATGCCATGACTGCATCCGTGATTACATTATCGGTTAAATAACAGTGATGTCGTTGTGATTTACATAAAACTTCATCCGGAAAATACACATATATGTTTAGTTAGCAATTTTTCCATAATTTACAATGAATCGAATGTGCGTTTAAGAGCACTAATCTAAAATTATTCATTTTAATTATTTTTCAATTTAACAGCAGAATTGTTAATATATATTAAGTATAAATGTATTTTTAGCACTTCGTCTTGTCTAAGCAATTTGTTTCTTAGCTGTAACGCTTATAAATGTAGAGTTTAACCTGATGTTTGTATTTAATTAAAATGTGATATTAGAAGTAAATATTTTGTTAGACTCGGTTGAAGGAGTTTATAAATGAATTTCGTTTACATAAATCATTTCGAATGTGCCATAAATAATTATTGGAACTGGGTATAAATACTGGTAGATTTCTATTTAATAGATAAGAATTGCTGTATTGGAAACAATGAAGACACTTCTAGCTTTGGTCATAGTGTTCTTTGCCGTGGCTTCCATCCATTCGTGCAACAATATCGATGCTAATAATTTATTTAAACAATTCTGCAGTAAGTAATTTTTAACGACATTAATTTTAAATCTATTATTATTAAATTTAAACACAAATTTTATAGATATTCGTAATCGTCAAGCATTCAATTATTGTTTGAGAGAAAACAACGTGAATATTGTAAGAGTTTTACCATTTTATCATTTTAATTGAATATTTGATATTCTATCATTTATTTTAACCATTAAATAATTGAATAGATTAACGATTTGCATCGCAATTGTATCATGCAAGTCAAGTATTATAAAACTATGGATGAATTAAAAAATTTTATTTGCAATGGTAGTACAGAAGAGGTAATTCATTCACTAATTAACAAAAGAATTAATATTCTAACATTTATTCATTGTTTTATTATTGTCTTACAGGAACTTACAAAATATTTTCATTGCTTCTATCCAGCAATCTATGTGGAAAACATAGCTAATCCTAATCTTCTAGATATCAATCGGGTATGGACACATTTCATAAGTTATTCAATTTAATTTAAATATCTGAGGCCCTCTTCCTCTCTGTGAGCACCAAGAGGGCCTCTTTAAAATCGTGCCCGTGGGTTGGCCAGGCCCACAATGGGGTGGGCTAGAAGTGAGTAAGGAGGACATCATTCCCAAAAATCGCCTTGGTCATCCGACCATCTATCTGAATATTAATCCACTTAGGCATTAATAATAATTATAATTACTTTTAATCGTTAAGTTTATTTAAACATACTTTAATTAATATATTTATTTATAATTCAATTTTTTCTTTTCAGAAATGCTTAAAGGAGGTTTCAAAATACTATTAAAGACCTACAACTTTCGAATAATTTGGAATAACCGATTAAAATTTAAATAAAGATTTTTAACTGTCAATTTTTGTATTTATCGTTTGGGTTGATGATAAAGAATTAATATATTTAATTAATAAATTTAATTGCGTCAAATGTCGTTACATTTAAGATCCATTTTTATATAATAAATAATCTTCACTAAAACTTTTTCAAGCTTAAAATTGCGCAGAACTGATTAAATTGTCTTTACGACTGTTATGTATAACAATATATAACAGGAGGAAAGTATGGCGATCGATCAAAAAGACCCTCCAAGATTTTTACATTCTTGGATTCAAAACACCTTGAAACGTCGAGAAATTTAAAAAAATTCGGAGGTTTTTCCTGTATGTATGAATTTTAGTGTGTGTGTGTGTGAGGCACGATTTTTGTTCACCCCGTTTGAAGCTTAATAGCTCCTGTGCTTTATGTCGAAATTTTCTGAAGTTTTTCAGGCGGATTTTTTTATTAGGGGAATCATTGCTATTAAATTTTGGTGTCTAAAGGTTGAGAGTGAGGGGATAAAAGGGTCGTATGTATCTCTACAAGGGTCGGACTTAACGACTATTTTACTGGACTTATTGGCATTTACAATTTGTTTTCTTTGATTCTGCAGTTTTTCGGGTTTTCTTCACATGTCTGACATCTAAATACGGGTCAATTTCTCATAGAAAATTCCCTCGGAATTTTCTATGAGAAGGGGGAGGAAGACCCTCGGGACAGATCGTCCAAATGTTGCTTTGTCTTCTTTTATCAACCCAACACTAAAGAATATCTCTTTTTATATTGATTTAATGTTTGTATTAAGACAAATTCCTCGAGATTTCCTAAAACTAGGAATATTAATCTTCCCACTTTTTCCTATTAATTATTCAGTGTGGAAGGACAACAGAAATAAATCTGTTTAATTAACGCTATTTTAAATCTGTTGTTCCCAGAAAAACACGCCGCAGTCGTCGTTACATAGAATTTATCATTTCTTTTGAGTCTAAAACACGTCGACTACTTTTCTGTCATTTTAAACACATTTAATAAAAATAATAAATTTAAATATTTGAAATGTCAGAAAATTTCTCGTTTCTTTTCACAGTTTTAAAGGATATTATTATATAATTTAGTATACTGATTGATACGGTCGATTGCTCGAATTCAATGAGGCAATATTGCTTGATTTCAAATTTCAATGACACATTTTGAATTATTATTAATAAACTTTATTGAAACAATGTCTTAACATAAACATATTTCTTATTATCTTAAAAAATTGCTTGATGTATTAAACACATCGCTGTTTATTCGCTTGCAGCACTCTTCAAGCATTTCTGGAAAATATTTTTAAAATATTTGTTTATATTCCTTTCTATAAATGTTAATTAATAAAAAATTAATAAAAATTGTTTAATTTTAATATAAATAAATTCATCCTTATTTATATTTTCGTTAACACTTCTAAGAATTCTTTCCTACCTGAACAATATCAATGAATTTTAGATTAGCATGAAATTCTACTTCCAAAGCTGGAACGAAGCATCTTAAATATTTTGCATATTCCTTCAAAATAGCATAATTTTAAATTAGATTAGTTAGAAAGGAATAAAGTAATTTAAATATTAAATAATAATACCTCGTCAGTTCTTGTTTTGCAAATAAAATTAGCTATTTCTCCCAAAGTTTGATAATATTTCACTTGTAAGGCGCAGTTACGATGCAATTTTACAGACTATTTAATTAATTTAGAATAAAACACAAATTTATAAAAAATTTAATATTAGTTTAAAATAATAATAAATAAATAATATTACTATTTCGGCATCATTTTCCAACATGCAGTATCTAAAACGTTCGGGATGATGTAGTTCTAACCAACAAAAAAAAAAATATGCTTATTTTATTGTCTATCGGTAAAAGCCTGTTTGATATAACAATTTTATCGATATTTTATATTTTATAGACAATAAATACGGTACTTACCACAATATTGTCTATCCAAATCTTCTACAGTAACAGGATAAGTGGAACGGCACTCGGAGAAAGAAGTGGCAATGCCAAAAGCAACTATAGCTAATGCGATCTTCATTGTGTCGTTGATTGTTTCTTCAACTCGATTCGAGTATATTTTTATTCGAATTTTCTGTATATTTATAGTTATACAGTTTACATTGCGAAAGGCGTGCGTTTAATAATAATTGTATAATTTACTTCGAAGAATTTTAAGATACATTCAACCGTAAAAGTATATAATTGACAAAAGAGTAAACCATAAATGAGCAAATATATCTTGTGACGTGGTCACAATGCTCTCCACTTCAAATTAGTAGTGTCTTACCCCTGTAAATCATACTTTTCCGTTAGTATTAGTAGCTTTTACCAAAAATTTGAATATTATAAAATTCTGATTTATAAATTTAGTTTCTATTATATCAATAATTAATTTTTTATTATATAGATGCTATTTAGTAATCATTAGACATTAATTAGGTTACCGTCTATCAATATTCTGGTCAGGGTCATATCGTATTTATTATATGACCCTGATTTCTGAGAAACGTGTAAATGTTATTTCCAGTCAAATTATATGTAATTATACATAATGAATATATTTAAACGTTTCCTCGAAAATATTTATACACAATTTAAGTAAAAATTATTACAGGACTTAGAAATCGTACATTTTTTAATATTAATTTTCTCTCGTTTCGAAACTAAAACAATTTTTCAGAAGGTATCCTACTTACGCTATAAACTGTATTTATTGTCTTTTCTAGCTACATAATAAAGCTAAATCTCGTATTAATTCAAAGAAGACCCATCACCTCTGTTAATTATGACTAGAAATTTATAAGGTCTAAGACAATAGGACGCAATATAATCTCAGTAGTGTTTAAAGATATAAACAATGTACGAAATACTTTAAATAAGTTGTGTTTTTTTGTATTTAATAACCATCTCTATTATTAGAAATTTATTAGATAAACAATTTAATTTCCATCAATAATCAACGCTTGTCAGGACGTTGTTCATTAAACGTGTACCGCATTACTATAATAATTAATGTAGCAATCAACTCGTTAATTTGATATTTAGCAGACTATTAAAACTGATAACAATTTAAACGTTGATACGAGTTATTATACAGACTTCAATTACTTATTACGACAAAGCAATTTATCACCTAAAACGTTTATAGTAGAGATTTCGTAGTCCTAATTATGATAATATAAAAATACTTCGCCTTATCTGTAAAGTGTGAAGTATGTATAAAATTATTTCGAGGAAAATAGAGGATAATGTCATTTAAAACAAAGATTTATATCTAAATTTAAGATAATTCCGTAAATTGTTCGAAACTGGCTATAAAAATGCCACGTTATTCCTGCTGAGGTAAGTAGTATCAAACTGCCAACAAACAATGAAAACAATTCTTGCATTAGTTCTCCTCTCTGTCGCTCTCTCTTCCGTCTCTGGATACGATAGTTACAACAAAAAACGTCAAATAACCGTTGATGATTTAACTGGACAATATTGTGGTAAGTATAATATAAACTTTGGGTAATTATAAGCATATATATACTGAAATATTAATTTATTTTTAATATTAAAGGAATAAAAAATCGCCAAGCATTCAACTATTGCTTGAGAGAGAATGGAGTTGAAATTGTAAGATGTATTTTCTTCTTTCTAAATTAAAAATAATAATTGTAATTAATCTTGTTATATTTATATACTTTCTTAGATTGTCGATTTTTACAGTAATTGTGTCAGACAAGTAAAATATTACGAAACTTTGGATGAAATAAAGAAATTCATTTGCAACACAAGAACCGATGCGGTAATTTATTTATTACAGGAATGGATATTAATTAGTTTGGATTATTAATAATTATTTTTGTTTATATACAGGAATATGCAAAGTATTTACAATGCTTTGCCTCCGCAGCGAATGCAGAAAGCAAAGTTAATCCAAATCTCATGGAAATCACTCAGGTATTCAACTTTGAGTTCTAGTTAAATACTTGAAGAGTTGAAAGTCAAAAGGGTATAAGTAATATTCACTTATTGACCCATAGGCACTTTTCCAGATCTTTAGGATTAGTTTATGCATCGTTTTACGACCATTACTTAAGTTTTCATCCTTTTGACTTTTGACCCTTCAATTAACACACGTATAAAAATTTAAATTTTATTAAATAAAATATATTTTTATAATTTCAGAAATGCATAGACGAAGTTACGGGACACGAATAAATATTTATATAATTTTCTTTTAAATTAATTATGTTAACTATTAACTCGAAATGTATGTTAAACTATTAAAATAAACTATTTGAATCCTAACTATTTCAATATTTTGTTAATTTTTTTTAAATGTTTAATATTTTCTCTCATTTCTTACTCTTTTTACTCTGTAAGAAGGCCAATTTAATCATTACCCATCGTGATTTCTGTTAGGCTCACAATGATGAAGGCCAAATGATGTGGGACTTGGCCCTATATTTGTTCGTAAAAATACATTTAAAAAGTTCAAGTATAATATTCAGACCATTTTTTAAATTTATCTAAATTTAAAATATATGCTCTCCACCTCAAATTAGTAGTGTCTTGCCCCTGTACATCATACTTTTCCTGTTAGCATTAGAGCAATTGAGTCGTGCCTGTTATCTATTTAACGCCTTTCAGGGGAAAATTTTTTACAAGGAACGACACTGACATAATTCAAAAAATCATAAGGAATGAAGTAAGAGAAGAATTTGGTTAAGAATGAATAAATTCTTCTCATAATTCATTCTTTATCAACTAAAGAAATATCTCGAGTCATTTTTTTCCATTCGCTGGACTTTGCCAGACTTTATTTATGAGAGACTCTCATGAAAAGCATTTAAAATAATTCATAAATCTTACGAATTTTACCATCATCAAGCACTTTTATAATATTCTATAGAAAATAAACCGGCAACAAGTTGTCCAAATTTTCCGGCAACATTTAAAATTTTAGTGGCGCAATCCGTTATCATATTTTATCAAAAAATTTTTATATTTTTAATTATTATAAAATGGCAGAATACTTAATTTTGAGGATAGGGATTGTTATATTAAATATTGTAAATGTTAATAACGAGTAAAATCGTCATTAATTCCGAACCTACTCGAGATATGACACGATCCTCTTTATCTCCCCACCCTCCACTTTTAATCATCAAAATTTAATAGCATGGATCTCCTAATAAACAAACCTCCCTGCAAAATTTCAGAAATTTTCGACAAAAACACAAGAGTTATTAAGCTTGAAAGAAGGTGAACAAAATCGTGCTCCCCACAGATACTAACATCCATACATACAGAAATTACCTCCGAATATGTTTTGCATTTCTCGACGTCTCAAGGTTTCCCGAGTTCAAAAATCTAAAAAATCTTGGGAGTCATTTTTTGATCGATCACCGTACTTTTCCTCTATTATATATAACAACCGGAAAAGTAAAAATTTAATGAGCAACGAAAACGTTATCGTGTTTCCTAAGTCGTGCAACCAGGAAGTTTCTTAAATCGTAATGGTAAGATTTGAGAATTCGAGCTTACGGCTTATAAATTACGTATTTTACATCACCTCTCTCCTATGTCCAACCCCCTTCCCTTTTCGGACGACCAACAAAACTCGATCCTCCTTAAAACTTTTATCATTCACAAATTATAGATACCATAAGTAGACACAAAAGATACAAGAAATTTGAAATAAATATAATAAATGCATAAACTGTATAAAATTTAATGAAATAAACGGATTTCAATCCTTCTCTCTCCTCCCTTCCGGTGTGGACGTCATTTACGGACAGCCCCTTAACGTATTCGTTACTACGCATCTAAACTACCGCATATATAATTTATGTGACACATTTATTCTCTCTAGAATCTGCGTGACAATGATAATGCTTCATTTTATGACTATATAAATAATTGAAATCAGTTTTAAAACTTAAATAACAAGATAGCATTGTTTCTAGTAACCAAGAAGACTGGTTTGCTTTATCAGCAATAAAGCACGTACAGAAAATATTCGGTGCATAAAATATGCCTTATTCATCCATCAAAGTTGTGAAAAGAGTACTGAAAGATAGGATCTTTTATTGCCTCAGTACTCACTTATAAAATCAACAAATAAGTAGTTTAATAATATGTTAGATTTTTTCGTTTCTTATTGATGAATTACGATAACGAAAAGAAAAATATGAGTTAATAATTGGGCTGAAATTTGAAAAAAATTGTAGACCCATAAATTCCCACTGTCGTTCGTCCGACTGTCTGTTCTTCCTTAATCTCGAGAAGGGAGTTAGATAGATAAATATCGAGAGCAGATATGGAAAGACTATGAGCAGGAGGCGCAGATTAACTATATCGCAACTTCCGGTTTGCATCTAAAGTCAATTTAATTTAAAAAATTTTCCTCCGAAAAGAGTTAGATTGACGACCGGCACGACTCTATTTCTAGTAGAAAAGTATGATGTACGGGAGCAAGACAGTACTAATTTGAGGTGGAGAGCATATATTTTGAATTAAATAAATTTAAAAAATATGATTAAAAATTGCAGCCCGGCATTATAACATGTCGCAATAAAATAATTGCTCGTTGTAGACTATAAAATTTAGTTTATAAATATTAAACTTGTTTTAAAATTATATTTTCCAGGACTGTATGAAGAGCGTCAGAAGACATCATTAAATGATTGTAGAATCTTCAATAATATTAAAGGTTACGAGAAATTCTTCAACAGTTGTTTTTATTGTTTAACCTTATTGCAGTAAAATAAAGCTTACTTGAGATTTAATTTTTTGCTTTGATGTTTATTTACACAAGCCGCATCTTATGAGTCTCTAGCTTAGAGCCTCATATTCTTATATGATCATTAACAGGTGGAGGGTAAAGGCCTGTCGTGTGTTTTAGCTTTAAGATAGCGGCGAGTTCTACAGATTAGAGAAAATTATGCTAACTTAATTACAAGATCTTATATAATATTTATTAAATAAATAAATAATTCAATAAATATTTATTTATATACAAACAAAGTTATAAGNTCTGCTCGTATAATTATTTTATTTTAAAAAATATCTCCTTTATATGCTATTTTACTAATATGCATACTACTTTAATTAATACATGTTCTGTTCAACCGGAAAACTTACAATTAAAGACTAATCTTCGTCATAATTCTAGTTGTCTATTTATTTATTCATGAATATTAACTATGTTTTGTATTTATCTTACAATATAATAGGAAAAATTTTAAATAAATTTGCTATAAATACGTCGAAATATGAAAAAGATTCGGGTGTTTTTTCCGTATGTATGGGAGTGTGTGGGGGGGACACGATTTTGTTCACCTTTTTGAAGCTTAATAACTCCCGTGCTTTTCGTCGAAAATTTCTGAAATTTTGCAAGGTGATCTGTGTATTAAGGGGATCGATACTTTTAAATTTTGATGATTAAAAGTCGAGGGAGTGGGGAGATAATGGAAGTCGTGTGAATCTTCAATAGGGTCGGATTTAATGACGATTTAACTCGTTATTAAATCTTTACAATTTTTTATAATACTCATTCCTACCCTGAAAATTAAGCTTTTTCCCATTTTATAATAGTAAAAATATAAAATTTGAAGGTGGACTGAAATATTAATATAACCAAAATGAAAGATTACAGACAATTGAAAATAAATGCCATGACTGCATCCGTGATTACATTATCGGTTAAATAACAGTGATGTCGTTGTGATTTACATAAAACTTCATCCGGAAAATACACATATATGTTTAGTTAGCAATTTTTCCATAATTTACAATGAATCGAATGTGCGTTTAAGAGCACTAATCTAAAATTATTCATTTTAATTATTTTTCAATTTAACAGCAGAATTGTTAATATATATTAAGTATAAATGTATTTTTAGCACTTCGTCTTGTCTAAGCAATTTGTTTCTTAGCTGTAACGCTTATAAATGTAGAGTTTAACCTGATGTTTGTATTTAATTAAAATGTGATATTAGAAGTAAATATTTTGTTAGACTCGGTTGAAGGAGTTTATAAATGAATTTCGTTTACATAAATCATTTCGAATGTGCCATAAATAATTATTGGAACTGGGTATAAATACTGGTAGATTTCTATTTAATAGATAAGAATTGCTGTATTGGAAACAATGAAGACACTTCTAGCTTTGGTCATAGTGTTCTTTGCCGTGGCTTCCATCCATTCGTGCAACAATATCGATGCTAATAATTTATTTAAACAATTCTGCAGTAAGTAATTTTTAACGACATTAATTTTAAATCTATTATTATTAAATTTAAACACAAATTTTATAGATATTCGTAATCGTCAAGCATTCAATTATTGTTTGAGAGAAAACAACGTGAATATTGTAAGAGTTTTACCATTTTATCATTTTAATTGAATATTTGATATTCTATCATTTATTTTAACCATTAAATAATTGAATAGATTAACGATTTGCATCGCAATTGTATCATGCAAGTCAAGTATTATAAAACTATGGATGAATTAAAAAATTTTATTTGCAATGGTAGTACAGAAGAGGTAATTCATTCACTAATTAACAAAAGAATTAATATTCTAACATTTATTCATTGTTTTATTATTGTCTTACAGGAACTTACAAAATATTTTCATTGCTTCTATCCAGCAATCTATGTGGAAAACATAGCTAATCCTAATCTTCTAGATATCAATCGGGTATGGACACATTTCATAAGTTATTCAATTTAATTTAAATATCTGAGGCCCTCTTCCGCTCTGTGAGCACCAAGAGGGCCTCTTTAAAATCGTGCCCGTGGGTTGGCCAGGCCCACAATGGGGTGGGCTAGAAGTGAGTAAGGAGGACATCATTCCCAAAAATCGCCTTGGTCATCCGACCATCTATCTGAATATTAATCCACTTAGGCATTAATAATAATTATAATTACTTTTAATCGTTAAGTTTATTTAAACATACTTTAATTAATATATTTATTTATAATTCAATTTTTTCTTTTCAGAAATGCTTAAAGGAGGTTTCAAAATACTATTAAAGACCTACAACTTTCGAATAATTTGGAATAACCGATTAAAATTTAAATAAAGATTTTTAACTGTCAATTTTTGTATTTATCGTTTGGGTTGATGATAAAGAATTAATATATTTAATTAATAAATTTAATTGCGTCAAATGTCGTTACATTTAAGATCCATTTTTATATAATAAATAATCTTCACTAAAACTTTTTCAAGCTTAAAATTGCGCAGAACTGATTAAATTGTCTTTACGACTGTTATGTATAACAATATATAACAGGAGGAAAGTATGGCGATCGATCAAAAAGACCCTCCAAGATTTTTACATTCTTGGATTCAAAACACCTTGAAACGTCGAGAAATTTAAAAAAATTCGGAGGTTTTTCCTGTATGTATGAATTTTAGTGTGTGTGTGTGTGAGGCACGATTTTTGTTCACCCCGTTTGAAGCTTAATAGCTCCTGTGCTTTATGTCGAAATTTTCTGAAGTTTTTCAGGCGGATTTTTTTATTAGGGGAATCATTGCTATTAAATTTTGGTGTCTAAAGGTTGAGAGTGAGGGGATAAAAGGGTCGTATGTATCTCTACAAGGGTCGGACTTAACGACTATTTTACTGGACTTATTGGCATTTACAATTTGTTTTCTTTGATTCTGCAGTTTTTCGGGTTTTCTTCACATGTCTGACATCTAAATACGGGTCAATTTCTCATAGAAAATTCCCTCGGAATTTTCTATGAGAAGGGGGAGGAAGACCCTCGGGACAGATCGTCCAAATGTTGCTTTGTCTTCTTTTATCAACCCAACACTAAAGAATATCTCTTTTTATATTGATTTAATGTTTGTATTAAGACAAATTCCTCGAGATTTCCTAAAACTAGGAATATTAATCTTCCCACTTTTTCCTATTAATTATTCAGTGTGGAAGGACAACAGAAATAAATCTGTTTAATTAACGCTATTTTAAATCTGTTGTTCCCAGAAAAACACGCCGCAGTCGTCGTTACATAGAATTTATCATTTCTTTTGAGTCTAAAACACGTCGACTACTTTTCTGTCATTTTAAACACATTTAATAAAAATAATAAATTTAAATATTTGAAATGTCAGAAAATTTCTCGTTTCTTTTCACAGTTTTAAAGGATATTATTATATAATTTAGTATACTGATTGATACGGTCGATTGCTCGAATTCAATGAGGCAATATTGCTTGATTTCAAATTTCAATGACACATTTTGAATTATTATTAATAAACTTTATTGAAACAATGTCTTAACATAAACATATTTCTTATTATCTTAAAAAATTGCTTGATGTATTAAACACATCGCTGTTTATTCGCTTGCAGCACTCTTCAAGCATTTCTGGAAAATATTTTTAAAATATTTGTTTATATTCCTTTCTATAAATGTTAATTAATAAAAAATTAATAAAAATTGTTTAATTTTAATATAAATAAATTCATCCTTATTTATATTTTCGTTAACACTTCTAAGAATTCTTTCCTACCTGAACAATATCAATGAATTTTAGATTAGCATGAAATTCTACTTCCAAAGCTGGAACGAAGCATCTTAAATATTTTGCATATTCCTTCAAAATAGCATAATTTTAAATTAGATTAGTTAGAAAGGAATAAAGTAATTTAAATATTAAATAATAATACCTCGTCAGTTCTTGTTTTGCAAATAAAATTAGCTATTTCTCCCAAAGTTTGATAATATTTCACTTGTAAGGCGCAGTTACGATGCAATTTTACAGACTATTTAATTAATTTAGAATAAAACACAAATTTATAAAAAATTTAATATTAGTTTAAAATAATAATAAATAAATAATATTACTATTTCGGCATCATTTTCCAACATGCAGTATCTAAAACGTTCGGGATGATGTAGTTCTAACCAACAAAAAAAAAAATATGCTTATTTTATTGTCTATCGGTAAAAGCCTGTTTGATATAACAATTTTATCGATATTTTATATTTTATAGACAATAAATACGGTACTTACCACAATATTGTCTATCCAAATCTTCTACAGTAACAGGATAAGTGGAACGGCACTCGGAGAAAGAAGTGGCAATGCCAAAAGCAACTATAGCTAATGCGATCTTCATTGTGTCGTTGATTGTTTCTTCAACTCGATTCGAGTATATTTTTATTCGAATTTTCTGTATATTTATAGTTATACAGTTTACATTGCGAAAGGCGTGCGTTTAATAATAATTGTATAATTTACTTCGAAGAATTTTAAGATACATTCAACCGTAAAAGTATATAATTGACAAAAGAGTAAACCATAAATGAGCAAATATATCTTGTGACGTGGTCACAATGCTCTCCACTTCAAATTAGTAGTGTCTTACCCCTGTAAATCATACTTTTCCGTTAGTATTAGTAGCTTTTACCAAAAATTTGAATATTATAAAATTCTGATTTATAAATTTAGTTTCTATTATATCAATAATTAATTTTTTATTATATAGATGCTATTTAGTAATCATTAGACATTAATTAGGTTACCGTCTATCAATATTCTGGTCAGGGTCATATCGTATTTATTATATGACCCTGATTTCTGAGAAACGTGTAAATGTTATTTCCAGTCAAATTATATGTAATTATACATAATGAATATATTTAAACGTTTCCTCGAAAATATTTATACACAATTTAAGTAAAAATTATTACAGGACTTAGAAATCGTACATTTTTTAATATTAATTTTCTCTCGTTTCGAAACTAAAACAATTTTTCAGAAGGTATCCTACTTACGCTATAAACTGTATTTATTGTCTTTTCTAGCTACATAATAAAGCTAAATCTCGTATTAATTCAANTTCAAGAAATTTTTGTACTCCTGTAGTCACTGTTAAATATCATTTGTTTTATGAAATTGTACAATAAGCAATGAAGAGAGTCAAATAACCCCAAATGCATTTCCGTTGTACAAAATAAATGTTATATTATTCATCGCAATGTGTTCGTGTGTCATAAGTTTTACATAGCAGTTTTATGCTTATTCCCAAACAACGAAGAAACGAGCAATTATTTATTGTGACATAGTCACCGTCCGGGCTGCAATTTTTAATCATATTGTTAATTTATTAATTTAAAATATACGCTTTCTTCCTCAAATTAGTAGTGGCTTGCCCCTCATCATCATAGTTTTCCTGATAGAAATAGAATAGTACTGGTCATCTAACTTCTTTCTATATCTGGTCTCGGCTTTCATCTATCTATAAAAGACAGTATTTTTATATGAAATTGGTAGTTAATGATTAAATAGTATTACTTTTTAGCACTCTTCAAACATGCCGACTTATGCACATACTATTTACTGCTTTACACTGTTATGAGTGTTATTTTATTTGTTCTCTATTTGTTACTCAATAGTTTTGGAGATAACATAACACAATTCATTGAATTATTCTCGAAATTTATTTATTTTCTTAGCACAATGTTGCCGTTGAGAACATATCACACAGGAACACTTTCAGAGGAAAAAGGTTGTTTTATTGATGTGAACGGATATGTCCATCTTGTCTATGTCCTCTGTGCATCTCATCATGTACCCTACAGCACATGTTATAATATCCTAACGTGTATATGTGTGGAGCCAAAAGTTCTTTTGGCTCCTTTTGACTTTTTCAACTACGCGTATATCTTCTTACGAGTTATGTTGGTTTAACTGTCACTATCTCAGGACTGAAGAGGGGAGTTAAGCCCGAAATGCATATCCGTTCATACCAACAGAACAACCTTTTTCCTCTGGAAGTGTTCCTGCGCGATATGTTCTCAATTGCAACATTGTGCTAAGAAAGTACTGTACATATAATAGAGAACAAAAAGCAACCAAGATTTAAATCAACATATTGTTTGTCTTACTTTTGTTATTATAGATATTAGATTTTTTATTCAGTTTTATATATAATAAATAGGCATACTTTGATTTCTTCTTCCATTATTGATCAATATCAAATGTAAATCTTAATTGGACTGTAATTTGAAAAAATTGTAGATCTATAAATTCCCACTGTATTCTGTTCGGCTGACTGTCCTCTTTTAATCTCCAGAACGGAGTGATATTGACGAAGGACGACAGCAGATACGGAAAACTTAAGGTCAGGAAGCCCCGATCAACCATATACTAACCTTCGATCAAACCGGAACTCACACTATTTGAATTTGAAATTTGTCTCCAGAAAGGAGTTAGATAGATGACTGGAACGACTTTATTCCTAACAGGAAAAGTATGATGTACAGGGGCAAGCCGTTACTAATTTGAGGTGGAGAGCTTATAGTTTAAATAGAATAATTTAAAATTATAATTAAGAATTGCAGCCCAGATTTGTGAGCCACAAGAAAATAATTGCTCGCTTCAGAATGAATTCCTTTGATAAAAAGAATATTTGAATATAAATTGAAAAAAGAATATATGAATTAGTTGAAACGAATTAAAAACTAATTTATGTGCATAGAAACTGACTTATTTGTTGAAATACTTTACATTTATAATCGTAAATTCCGGATCGAAAGATGTGGATGCATTACATGCCATAATAATTATTACGTAAAATTAATATCCTATCGATGATAATTAAACACGCTTGTCAATAATAATCACATTGTTTAAGATAAAGTTATTAATAATGTAAAAGTATATATGGAGTATTGAAATTACTTTAAATGTTTACATTTTACAGAATTTTATTAAATATTATATTTAATACTGTAATACAGCAATAGAATTCATAAAATCCACAAAAAGCTTTAAATTATCAATAAAATATTTCATTTCTAAAAGCTTTATTCTATTTTTCAATTTTGTCTAAACACATTCAATTTCTACATAATAAATTGCTCATTTAGTCACTCGTTAGCACGTGGCATATCGATACTCAAAAGTTTCAATTGATTAATTCGTTTCGTAATTACAGCTCGAGAAATTTAATAAAGTCACTTTATATACTTCATTTATCAATTGTTACAAAGTAATTTGTTGCTTGGATACGGTTCTGTCGAGAGTTGTTACGTTTTTCAAAAGGTATCACGAAAATTCCCATTGGTTTTCTATATTCGTGCGAAGAATTGCGCAAAATTAAATGCGGGTCAAACAAATCATAAATCTCTCGCGTCAAATTATTCCGAATATTCGACTGTGAATAATTACTCGGCCAAAGTGAATATAAATACAAAATGAATTTCGTTTGATTGCAATACAGCGCACTTCTAGCAGTTACCATGAAGACCGCACTCGCTGTAGTTATTGTTTTCCTTGTTATATCTTGCATCGAATCGTGGACTCCGGCAGAAATAGCCGAATTAACTAGACAATATTGCGGTAAGCGTTTTATTTAAAGATATATTCGTATTTAATCATTTATACAATTTCGATATAAATTCTACATAATTACAGGGATAAATGACCGTCGAGAAGTCAATTATTGCGTAAGAGAAAATGGAATAGAAATCGTAAGATCGTCTTTATTGCTTTCAAATTTCAATTTAAGTATAAAAGTAACGCATTTGAGTAAATATTTAAACGATTATTCAGATCGTCGATTTACATCGTAACTGCGTGAGACAAGTGAGGTATTACGACACACTGGACGAATTAAAGAAGTTCATTTGTAACACCAGAACCGAAAAGGTATTGTGTGTTTGATATTATAAAGACGGATATTAATCGATTTGCGATGTTTAATGTTTATATTACGTACAGGATTACGCAGAATATCTGAGATGCATAACCCCCGCATTGCTGGCAGAAAACAAAGCCAATCCAAATTTACTGGGAATATATCAGGTATACTTAACGTTTCGTTTAATTCTTTTAAGTTTAATTATTCTGATAAGATTATAATTTTGCTTACGAATTTGTTGTTACTAATACAATTTTGTCTCGTATCTTACAGAAATGCTTAAATCAAGTGGAAAGAAGTGAACATACTTATTACTGAACACTCTGATAACTAATAATGTGTTAATTCTTTCTGTATCAAAGTGTCAAATAAAATATATGCATGCAATTCTTGAATATCGTGTAGCTATTATTTTATAATTACTTTTCAAACATCTACTTATTGGGCTACAATTTAAAAAAATTGTAGACCTATAAATTTCCACAGTCGTCTATATGTCTGGCTATCTGTTCTTCCTTAATCTCGAGAACTGTAACAACTATTAACCGATTAATAGCATTAACTGTGCCCGATGCAAACCGAAGTCACGTTATTATAATTGAAAAATTTTTCACCGAAAGGAGTTAGCCAGATAATCGCTTGAATAAGTTGAAGTTACATCCTTCTAACAGGAAAAGTATGATGTACAGGGGAAAACACCACTAATTTAAAGTGGAAAGCACATATTTTAAATAAAATAAATAGACTTTGATCGAAATAATTTAATTGACATCGACAAATGAATAAAATTTTAAAAATGTTAAGAATCATTTGTTTGTATCTTGTGAATACACTGAACACTTAAAGGATACTTTTTCGACAATTGACTTTAAAATGACTCGTCTAAACGATGATGATTTAAGTTATGTAACGTTGTATAAAATTTATAAATTTTTTTGTTATTCACTAAATATGGTAACGTAGTCCTACTAATTTAAGTTATATATAATTGTAATTAAATAATACAATAATGTTTGTATTTTAACGATGTTGTTTGTACTTCCTCATCCCCTTTATAAAGGCGGAAGTCAAAGCGAATAAACGATTGATTGATTGATTGATAATAATTATAATATATAGTCTCGAATATTAACTACATCATATATACTTGCACATTATTAACAAGTTTGTCTTGAACAAGCTTGTTTAATCCATCGATAGAACATTAATTTTACATAATAATTATTATGGTATGTAATGTGTAATTTACCCACATCTTTCAATCCGTAATTTACCATTATAAATGGAAATTATTTTAATAAATGAGTCAGATAATTCGAAATTTTTCCCCAAAAGCGGTTAGATGACCGGCACGATTTCGTTGCCATCAGGAAAACTATGATGTACAGGGGAAGCCACTACTAATTTGAGGAGGAAAGCGTATATTTTAAATTAAATAAATTAACAATATGATTAAAAATTGCAGCCCGGATAGTGACGATGTCACAATAAATAATTGCTCGTTTCTTTTGTTCTTTCGAAGAAGAACAAAACTGCTATGTAGAACTTATAAGACAAAAACACATTGCCATGAATAATATAACATTTATTTTGTACAACGGAAATGCATTTGGGATTACTTGCCTTTCTTCAGTCCTTATTGTACAATTTCATAAAACTGAAATGATATTTAACAGTGACTACAGGAGTACAAAAATTTCTTGAAAGTTTAAATAAAGACATTATAATAAATTAAGTATTTATTATAATGTAAAGTATTTATTATAATATAAAGACATTAAAGACATTATAATAACCAGTGTGGCTTCTTAATTTACGGGAAGTACGGTATTTGTTTACTGAGAATTTATATTAAAATATGCGTTTTTTATTTTAAATTATAATGGTTTTAAATTAAAAAGAAATATTTTGCACTTCTCGGATGGTAACACCAATTAACGGATGAAAGAAAATAGTAGTAGAAAATAGCAGACAATATAGTTATTAAGTTCCGCGAAAATTGCAAAATTAAACGACAAATTTCAAGAAATTGAAGGCAGGTGGCAAGTATTAGAGAAGGAGATAGAAAACGGAATGCTGCAAGAATTACAAGAACTATATTTATCTATTGAAAGAATATAGTAGCTCACTTGTTATTGCATCGTCCTTAACAATTAGTTTTGTTTCTCATAACATTTATAAATACATACAATGCTTCGTATGTCGATACAATGACATCGCCTTGCAATTAAGTAAGCACGGAGAGTTGCCAAATACTACCGATTAAGATTTTTTATCGTCTATTTTCATTTTACTAAGCAATACGCGAGTTAAGATTGAAAATTGCAGCTTGATGTTTAATCTTTTCCGAGAAAAATTAAATTGTTATAAACTTGCTTATAATATGATGTAAATGATACGATGTCAGCAAACCTGAATTTTGAAGGTTCGTGAATGAAGATAATAGAGAAAATGGTTAAGAAAATGTATGTATTGATACGTATTTTATCTATAAACAAACAGAAAAACCCAAAATATACGAATAACGAGCAACTATTTTATTGTGACATCATCGCAATGCCTGGCTGCAATTTTTAATTATATTTTGAATTTATTTAATTTAAAATATATGCTTTCCACCTGGAATTTTTAACGTCTTGCTCCCGTACATCATACTTTTCTACTAGAAATAGAGTCGTGCCGGTCGNCACTTCGGATTAGAGTCTTACCCCTGTAGATCATACTTTTCCTATAATAGAATCGTACCGACTACTCTATTGCTAGCGATTATCTGGCTAACTCCTTTCGGTGAAAAATTTTTCAATTATAATAACGTGACTTCGGTTTGCATCGGGCACAGTTAATGCTATTAATCGGTTAATAGTTGTTACAGTTCTCGAGATTAAGGAAGAACAGATAGCCAGACATATAGACGACTGTGGAAATTTATAGGTCTACAATTTTTTTAAATTGTAGCCCAATAAGTAGATGTTTGAAAAGTAATTATAAAATAATAGCTACACGATATTCAAGAATTGCATGCATATATTTTATTTGACACTTTGATACAGAAAGAATTAACACATTATTAGTTATCAGAGTGTTCAGTAATAAGTATGTTCACTTCTTTCCACTTGATTTAAGCATTTCTGTAAGATACGAGACAAAATTGTATTAGTAACAACAAATTCGTAAGCAAAATTATAATCTTATCAGAATAATTAAACTTAAAAGAATTAAACGAAACGTTAAGTATACCTGATATATTCCCAGTAAATTTGGATTGGCTTTGTTTTCTGCCAGCAATGCGGGGGTTATGCATCTCAGATATTCTGCGTAATCCTGTACGTAATATAAACATTAAACATCGCAAATCGATTAATATCCGTCTTTATAATATCAAACACACAATACCTTTTCGGTTCTGGTGTTACAAATGAACTTCTTTAATTCGTCCAGTGTGTCGTAATACCTCACTTGTCTCACGCAGTTACGATGTAAATCGACGATCTGAATAATCGTTTAAATATTTACTCAAATGCGTTACTTTTATACTTAAATTGAAATTTGAAAGCAATAAAGACGATCTTACGATTTCTATTCCATTTTCTCTTACGCAATAATTGACTTCTCGACGGTCATTTATCCCTGTAATTATGTAGAATTTATATCGAAATTGTATAAATGATTAAATACGAATATATCTTTAAATAAAACGCTTACCGCAATATTGTCTAGTTAATTCGGCTATTTCTGCCGGAGTCCACGATTCGATGCAAGATATAACAAGGAAAACAATAACTACAGCGAGTGCGGTCTTCATGGTAACTGCTAGAAGTGCGCTGTATTGCAATCAAACGAAATTCATTTTGTATTTATATTCACTTTGGCCGAGTAATTATTCACAGTCGAATATTCGGAATAATTTGACGCGAGAGATTTATGATTTGTTTGACCCGCATTTAATTTTGCGCAATTCTTCGCACGAATATAGAAAACCAATGGGAATTTTCGTGATACCTTTTGAAAAACGTAACAACTCTCGACAGAACCGTATCCAAGCAACAAATTACTTTGTAACAATTGATAAATGAAGTATATAAAGTGACTTTATTAAATTTCTCGAGCTATAATTACGAAACGAATTAATCAATTGAAACTTTTGAGTATCGATATGCCACGTGCTAACGAGTGACTAAATGAGCAATTTATTATGTAGAAATTGAATGTGTTTAGACAAAATTGAAAAATAGAATAAAGCTTTTAGAAATGAAATATTTTATTGATAATTTAAAGCTTTTTGTGGATTTTATGAATTCTATTGCTGTATTACAGTATTAAATATAATATTTAATAAAATTCTGTAAAATGTAAACATTTAAAGTAATTTCAATAGACGATATATAAATTCTTATTAACATTAAATAAACCAATTTTTACTGGTCTAGGTAATTATTTGTTTCTGAAGGAATTCTTTAATTGTAGATCTATAAATTCCTACTGTGGTTTGTCTGGCTGTTTTTCCCTTAATCTCGAGAACTGAGTTATATAGATAAAAGGTAAGACAAGATATGAAAAGTTCAACTGTAAAGGAACTTCTAATGCAGACATCGAGTCACTTTATTTCAATTCAAAATTTTCCCTTCGAAAGTTGTGAGATAAATGACCAGCACCACTCTATTGTTAAAAAAAAAGTATGATGTATAGGGAGGGGCAAACCCATACTAATTCGAGGTGGAGAGCGTATATTTTAAATTAAATAAATTATGATAATGATTCTGATGCGAGTGAAGTTAATGTTAAAAATTTCGTTTAAACTGTAAATAATAAACTTAACAATATTATTATTGTCTATATATGGTTTATCTTCACTGAAATTTTAGTATTATAAAAAGTCCAAAATTAGATTTTTTAAACTAATTTTGCATGTTTTCTTGTAAATATTTGCAAATAACTGTATATTTTCGGTTTCTAATTATGTTCCTACGCATTTATTTTCTCAAAAAAATTCTTTTCATACCTTTTCTGTGAAAACATATCATCATAAGTTACGTGGAGATAAGGCAGAGAATTGATTTTAATCACCAGTTTCTAACTCAAAAATATAACAAAAAGATCCTATAGTTTCTGTTATATATCTATAAATATTGTTTACATTTCGGGACGAATGTATCGATATTCTGTAACTGCAAACGGATATTTATGTAGCGAAGAGAAATTGCTAAATCTATGATTTTTCTCTAGCATCTCATCGATTTTAGATAAAGAAGGCAATTATAACTCTCATCCTGTCTTTCTACCTGATCCTTTTTTATATATAAATCCACGGTATTTTCTACTGAATGTAGAAATAAATAAATTTAATATGGGATGTATTTTTGCGTGGTAAACATACATTGTTCAATA